GAAAACATGGCATTAAAATCAAATGTTTCAAAAGTGAATCACTTCAAACGCAGATGACACGCACATTAATTCAATGATGTTTTTCAGTTCTGATCTTGGTGGGTCATTACTTACACATCTTGCACTTCTATTGTGTCAATAATAATATGATGAGTGTATCCTTACTTATTTTTTGGAAATGGATTAATCGAGCTACGCTGGTATTGGCAAAGACAGGTATATTTTGTGGATTCCTATGTAATTTCCAAAAAATGATCTGGTTAATCCTTTCATTATAAACAATTTCGACACATATTGTAGCTCAATTCACCTCTGAAACGTATTTATTACATGACATAACACCATTTATGTCAATTTGAAAACATAAAGCAGTTCAAGTGCCTGGATACCTTGAGATGGTACAACAGGGTATCACATTACTTTATGACTAAGCATATTTGGAAACATGAATTTTTGGCCCATCAAATTTTTAAAAAATGCTATCATTTTTTAGATAAAATGCCTAGTTACGAAAACGAGGCCTAAATGACCTAAATCTCACGCCAGGAATAACAAGGCATTAACATGCAAAATGGCAACTGCCATTTGTTACAACGCTGAACGCCGACCACCAGACGCAAACCGCCGTCACCTTACGTTGGAGACCAGTTTTGGTGGTGGCAAAAATGGGGTCATTTTGAGCTCATCTTAGGTCCCCATGTTTGACAGCGAATCTATTTTTAATATAAGTGTACAATCAATTATTTAATGAAATTAAGGTCAAGGTCAGAATCTGATACATACAATGGTTAGAAAACGTTAGTTTTAGAAAATATTCATCCTATTATCAACTACTTTCCCTTCACTTTGAGATCAAAATGTTTTCAAAAATGAAATCTACGAGACTCGTCGTCCATTCCGTTAAATTCTCTAATCATAGAGGAAAAAAACTTCATGATACAAGGCCTGTTCTAAAATTTCTGAAACTAAATTCTTGGCTTTATTTAGCTGGTTACATCACATTAATTACAATCAAGTAGACCTTTATCACAGTATGCAGGAAGGGGTGCTTTAAATAATAAATATCATCGGTTAAACACATCAGTGATTTGAAGACTGAAAATAAACGATTACAATATGGTATATTTCAAGTGCTATAAACAACAATCATAACTTCTATGATTTCTGCTGGCAAAATTGCAAATAGTGCTGTAGTAAGAATATAGAGGCCGCTTTAAAATACATGAAAATACTATGTTCCCCTGATGGTGCGCAACGCATTGGCGCCGATTTGGTCTACAACGCCTATAGACTAAGATACATGCTACGCTCTTTGTAAATAAATGAATATTTGTCAATTTACATCGCATTCGCCTATTATATTTCAATCTATGTGGTCTAAAATTCTAATGAAATGAGCTTTTTCGAAGACAATTGACATGAACATTGAACAACAATTTTGCAATCAACAACACTTCCGTTTCTAGGAATTAATACATAATATTCCCTGATTTTTTCCCCAAAAAATCTTGAAATATATGCTATTCATCCGACTGATTAACATTTTCTTGATACTTCACTTTTCAGATTATTATCTGCATACTTTGAGACTTATAATTAGGAAAATATACTGTATATAATTGGTAACTTTGCCCAATCATTTAATTTGCCTATTGCCTAATTTTTGCCAGGTTCGGAAAAATTAAATGCCGGAAGTACTATCTTCATAATGTTATCCAAGGGGAAGTTTCTTTTCATTAGGAAAAGAATAAAATTTGATCATTCGGAAAATTAAGCACTCGGATTAAATATCACTTACACAGTTGTAATAAAATACCGAATATTTCATACAAATGATGGGCAACAGGGTATCAGACCTTAAATGCATCTCTCAACCTTTAGGGTATGGTTCAAATGATCGACCATTTAAATTTTGTTTACATATTTTTTACTTTTCCTATTTAAACACCAAGAATAAGGTTAGATAAAGGATACTAATGCTGCTCAAGTCATTCAACTGAAGTGACATCTTTTTAAGACTACATACATCAAACAAGCAAGAACTAGCAGAAAAGTTCCAATTACAATTTATACAAAGTTCTTCTTTATTAGATAAAAATATTTATTATTGCACAGTATTTAAAAGATATATGGCTTCCTGACGGCAGTACAATCTCAACTAAAGCAGTAAATTACATGCACAATTATTTCACTGCTTACTGTCTGGACCTTTAATGTGTTCTAAACGCAATGGCTGCTTACTGTCTGGACCTTTAATGTGTTCTAAACGCAATGGCCACATGGAGTATAATGCAACAAAATCATTGCTTATGGTGAATACTTGAACACTTTGACAATGGAGAATATTTCTCTTTCAAAACAAAGGACAACATTATTAACAAAAATATCAAAACCTAATAGAGTATCAAAATCCTTTGGGTCCTAGTAATACACCCCCTTAATAAGTATGGCAACCATGAGTCTCTCTCTGGATCACATGTTAAAGCATGTTTATATTTGGCAATTTAAAAACCCATCAAATTTGTACATGTTAACTATAGAAGTGTACATGTTAACTATAGAAGTGTACATGTTAACTATAGAAGTGCTCACATTGGTGAGCTGTTCACAACAGAAGTGCTTACTGGAATAAGTCATTTATGAAGACAATGTTTACACTTCATGCACACATAACATAAGAACAAAAGGCTTTCTTCTAAAATCATTATAGGCAACTAATGAAAACATTTGAACGTTCTTATAAACATATGTTTAGTCTTGCAACAAGTCTTTGAAACCCTGTCCCAATTTCCCAATCTCCTTGTGCAAGTCAGGTGCGTTGACGGGTGTCACAAGGGCTTGTTGCAAGACTAGTCAATATGTTCAGCATTGGCTCTTTTTAAATACATTTTTATTACAACATAATATAAAAGATGTTATATTAGCAACTGGTGTGTAAAAGTATAGTAGCATGGCCATTTTCTTTTAAATAGCTTAACACCACGGTTCCATCATGTACTTGGAAGATTTTATCTCATTTCCATATCTGCTTAGATCATACTCGTATATTATATTATACAGATATTTCAATATTTATACAATTTTAATATTTATACTTAAATTATATATATATCTGGTGAAGAATATGTACACTTTTCAAATGGTATCTTCCATTTGCATTACACTATAGGATAACTATTCACACTATGTACATATATTCAAGTATATCTTCAAAGAGTTCAGTTCATGTGGCTTAACCTTATATGCATATCATATGTTAAAAACTATAACTGTTCATGATCTACTCTGGAATGCTCTTTAAAGCAGTTCAATAATATTTTGTAAAAAATAAATGCACACTCAAGAAGGAATCCTAATTTCTATACAGTAAAACCTGTCTTAGTAAACACCCATCTCTAGGGAACACCTGTACCTACAGTGAACACTTTTTGTGGCTCCATAGGTGTTCACTATATGCAGGTTTTACTGTATTTCTATATGTACAGTATATCAAAATGAGACTAAAATTTATGTTCAGTTCAACTTTTGGTACATGTAGTTGGTATGGAAAAACTAAGAAGACCATCATTTGAAGTCATGTCAGGAAACTTAAAATCTACTGGGCGTGCCAAATTTTCTAATCTATATCTGGCCTAAGATTATGCATTGTTCTACTATATTTTAAACATTCAAAAAATTCAAGTTTGCCTTTTTGGAAATTTCACCTTTTTTATGTTTCACCATATCACCACCACTTCATCAATTTAACAGGATCCCACTTTTCTACCTAAAGGAACATCAACCATAAGGAAGATTGTCTCCTGCAGAGACAGAGATGTACCATGAACTCAGGTTGCATTGTCATCATCAACAGGCGTTTCATTAGCAACAGACTTTAGGGCTTCAGATTGCAGAAACCAATATATGGCACAATAGAAAATATAAAGTTTCAAATGATACCATTTGTGAATAGAGATACCTTGTGTATTTGAAAGCTCAGTTCAACAAAATATGGTACAACCATAAGATCTTATAGGTCAATATGACCTTTCTAGAGTTCAGAGCTAATATGTATGTACACGGTGGGCCAAAAATTATTTTTTGTCCACATTATTTAGTTTGATATAACTCTTTTGATTTTTGAAAATGTACGGATTTCCATTACATTCTGCCAGAATATACAGAAATCAATTTGAAAAATGTTCCTAAAGTGTGATTAATAAATCTCTAGGGGTTTTAAAAATATGATGGTAAACAGGCTAAAGGGGTATATATGAAAAATTACAGATTTCAGACTGAAATTCAAAGTGACAATTTTACAATGATAATACTCATGTCCAAAATAACTTTCCAGATTGACATTTTAAACATTTAGCTAGAGAAACATGTAATGTATGATGTATACACTAACTTAATTTATATTTCTGATAGAAATGAAAGCATTTTGGAATGTATTGAGCCTGATAAGGAAGATAAGATGTACTTGTTCAACATCAAGAGAAACGGAATTAGTGAAAGGCAGGAAGAAAAATTATGTTCTCTTATTGGCTTGTAATTTATGTTTAGTATTAATGTGGGTCTTAAAGGACACTGAAGAAACAGGTTCTTTAATGTTTGGGCCCCATACTGATCTTTTTCCCACAAATAAGACAGATTTTCCCAAATCATCGTTTTCTCTTGATGCTGAATCAGTTTTCCTTCATCTTACTTATTTGTCTTATGATGCTTCTAAAACTCAATTTTTGTCCGACACACTGAATTATATTTCAATCTGGTAGTTTAATTTGAGGAATGACTAATATCAGTGTAAACTTGTTGTCTCCAATAACATTCTTAGATCTGTAATTTCTCAAATAGACCCATTGTGTCCCCTTTACCTTGACTATTCAAAAAAAACCTAGGGGTTTATTTATTCCACTTTAGGGACAATCGTAACCTTGGCTTCTGTACATCCTCCCCAAATCTTATTGAAATCCATGAATTTTCAAAAACGTTATATGGAAATAAAAAATGTAGATGCGTTTTGGCCCACCCTGTACATGTACCAAAAATTGTACTTTTGTTCAATATCTTTTCCTGCTTACTAATTCTGCTTTATTGACCTTTGTGGCAATTTAATTTCCTTTCATTTTGGCTTCCCACTTCCTTCATGTTCTCTTCATCGAGGGAGTACACATATTATACAATATCATGAGGGAAATCTGAATGGCACCAGCAAAGGCTTAGTATAAAGGCTCCTATAAAGAGACATCTATGGTACAGGATATTATTTGGTTTCACGTGCCATCATAATAATTCTGCTGATACCCGTTTATGTGGTTGTAGGTCTGTGAGTTATTGCTGTGGGCTGTGAATAGCAGAGGTGGCGTAGTCCCAGGGATTCCATACTGGTGAGTTCCAAAGCTACGTGGCATACTCCCACTTCCACTGTTGTTGATGCCATATTCGGATGAATGCCCTATTAGGCTGGAACAAAACAGTATAATATGATAAAATGCAAGTAATATTTACTAAACAAAATACATGGAACTGTTATTGCTATGCTACACGATTTCAGTCTTTTAACAATCAATGGAATAGAAATTTCAGTCATATTCCATTGTAAATCATTGAATCTCAAGTCTTTATTCCTTAGATATAACCAAACAAAATAACTATGTAGTAAAACAGCTTTAAAAACATATTTAGAAACACCTGAAGCATATGATCATGTAACAAAAATTATTATTTCCAAAAGTAAAATAAAATAAACTTTTAGAAAAGTTTTCCGTCTAATGATAGGTCCCAAATCACCTAACAATATTAGTGAATATTTGTCTCATTCGTCTCACATAATCAAATCAGTTATGCCATCTTTCAATCAAAAGCAGAACCAAATCCACCAATTTTCTTAAGATAATATAAGGAAAATATGAAACCTTTGTCTTGAATTGCCACTGCGTGTGAGGTCATCATCACTGTCATATCTGCGTGGATTGTCGAAAAAATAAGCTCTGGGATTGTAAGTTCTGGAGGACATATCATTTAGCGTGGTCTGTAACAAAAACATATGAAACACATGAGATTTGAGAAGGATGTACCAAACTGATAGGTACATATGTAATGTTTATTTCTTTTTAAGTATGAGCCTGAGACCTTACATTCGTTAACTTAAGTAGCACTTGTATCACATATACTATACATGTATATAGCATATACTGGTATGCACAATAATACGCTGTACATATATTTCCTGCTTCTTAACAAGGAAATTATAATTTTCAAACATGTTAAGCAATTTCCTGTAATTGTCAGTTCATAGGTTATTTTGAACTTTCAGTGGTAAATGAAAAACAACTTGACCAAACTTCAAAGAAATATATCAAACATTAAAGGATGACTCTGGGAATGAGTCTGGGTATGGACTAAGAAAATATTGAAAATTGTAATGTCTGAAAAACCAACTCAATCACACATATTATGAAACTTCAATATCTTATCCTTCCTCTGAGATTACAAAAATATCAATTTGTATCACAATTGATGAAGAATATTGGCATCAAAGACAGTGCATATCACTTTGTCAGAATTGAAAAAAATCAATGGCAAATATCAAATGAATTATTTATGCAAAAAGTTTGAAACATATCTTCCAAAACATTGGTTACTTTCTTTGTATAGACATTGAATGGTATTTCTGGATAAGTGAATTGGTGTTTATCTGGGTAATCAAGGGATTTTAGTCACTCAAAGTTACTGAGCATCCAGTTTTGAGACTTCAATTGTGTTGGTGATGTTACACATATTTCAGTCCAATTCATGCTGAGCACAACATTTTGGTTTCAATTTTATAATCTCTATACATGACTCTGGTGATGAAGAGTCAGAATCAGTCAGAAAACCTAAACCGGAAAACTGTGCTCATTGTGAAAACTAAAAGTGAAGCAACTTTTTCCCTGATATTTCTTATATCAAATGGCAACCATCTTGTTTTTCCCCCTTCAAATCAAACTGGCGGGAAATTCAAAAATTTGAAAAAAAATTAATCTTTAAATATATTTCAAAAATACGATTTTCTTTTTAATTCTTCATTGGTCTTAAGTTATTTCTTCTTTGTATGTCATACATGTTGCCATGGGTGTTTTTTCTTTGATAATGACTATTTTTTTGTTTGTTAAGATACTTATTCTGACTCTCAGCAGGGGGTTAACTATGCATCAAAACTCATGAAAAAGTAAATATACTTATCAAATATAACCAGGACAGTAATAAAAACCATATTTCACATACATTTGACTGAGGGACCAAAAGGGCATATACCCAGACACATCCTTTAAGACAGAAATAATCAAAGGTGATAGTAATTGTATGTGGAGCAAATACATGTACAGTCAACATTTCTAGGGATTGTAACTGAAAGATTGTCTGGTATGGATGGTGAAGTGCATGGGCACAAGCCCTATAAACCATCTCAAAGAGTGAAAAGCTGTTTTAACCAATCTTGTGCATGGACATGCACTTAGTACAGTTCAAATGTGAATACTTAGAGATACAGCATATATTATATCATCAAACACATAAGGTGAAATCTACTCGATCTTTAGTTGGTACTAACAGTGTTCACTTTACAAAGGTTTTACTCAATACTCTTTACAGTAGATAATTAATATTACTTATCAATCCTGAAAAAACGTTTTGAACACCCTGTGTAATACTGAATGATAAATCCTCACCATTGATTGGGTTGGCCTCTGCACTCTAAAGAAAGCGATCACAACAAATGTTGGCATCAGTTCCCAAATAAACAGAACAATTCCAAATGTGGCAAAGTTATACCTGTCATCCAGGTTGACAAAGTCTGCCTGGAAGAACAAAATAAGGACACAATATCATATCATATAGCAGACATGTTTCAAAATGCAAAATAAGATGAGTTAATAATTATAAAATAAACATGTTAGCACAGGTAGAGAACAGCCAGAAATTAATGATATCAAAGTAAGATAGGTGACCAGTTGTGTAATAGACATCAGTGGACATTTAGAATTCAATGCACTCGTAAGGTTTAAATCAACATTTCCAAATTGTATGAAAACAGGCTGGAGATTTGACTTATGTTGCAAATTTCTTAACTTATTCGACACCATGATACAAAATGCTGGGAACAAGTTCAAGTGTAGGTTGAATAAGTGTAAGCATATCTATGTTTTTTATTTTTTATTTATTTCCAATAGTAATATAAGATTTAAAGAATACACTTTCAAGTAGATGACACCGTATTGCACACATATACCAATTATTCTACATCATTAAAATGTTTTATTATATCTTTTATACATCATATTTATTTGTTTCCCGGCATGGCTTTAATAATTTATACTTTGAGACACTTTGTAACATCAATAATAAAATGTAACTAACAATATGCCATCTTTTAAATATTTTAGCTTGTGATAAGACATACACCCACTAGGGTGTCATTTTCACTGATATGTATATATGTTTATATGATTTTAATAAATAAATAAAAAAAAACAAAAAAAACACAAGGCTTTAAAATAATACAGGATATGTTTTGGATACAAATGGACACCAGAGGGCGCAAGTTTACCTGGTCGGAGACATTGACCCAATCATATCCAAAGTTGGGCAAATTGCAGCTAGGTCCTAGGAAAACGACAATTAGATTATAGATGGCTCTGGAGGTGTAAAGGAGGACTATCAAAACACACGCAACTGAAGCCTGGCATGTTGTGGTACCCTGGAAAATATGAAAATGTTAATGCATACCACATCAAAACTAAGAAAGCAAAGTAAAATTTAGTTTCAGTCTTGTATTAGTAATTAAACAAAGACAGCTGGGATCACAGTCATTTTCATTTGAGAAACTTTTCCAAATTCATCAAACTTCCATTCATTTGCAAGATCAGGCCACATACATTTTGAATATCTGACTCTTTTCTGGTGAATTTGGAGGAAACTGTATGTGACTCTAACTTTGAATGTTTCTAAGACGATAGCATTTTTTCTTACATCACCAAAACTATTATTAATTGCAACTTTCTAAGCCACTTAAATAACTATTTTACAATAAACTGTAACACGGCCTACCTTTGCCTCCAGTACAAGGTTAGTGGCTGACATTTTAGTCATGCTATATATACATACAGCTAGAGAAACCCCTGCGACAACAAACAATGAGTCATTGATGACAACTCGGATTTGTATGATTTTGAAGATTGTCATACCCGGAACAGAGCGCTGTTCATGGGCAAGTACTGCACTTGTTATGTTAACTGCTAGGAATGTAAGTATTGCAAGGATGATGATGGCTCGTAATGGGCGTCTGGAATAAAATATTTAATAGAATAATTAATTTGTGAGATGAAGCAATGAATGCTGGGAATAAAAGTATGGCTTGGACTATGATAGCTTGTAATGGTCACCTGTAATAATCATTTCACAAGGCTTCTTCTCCAAAGCCAAGGGGCCAATAACAATTTCAAACCTCTCGCAAAGATAATTTTATTGAATATAAAAATATAGCTGAATAACATTGTTTTAAGATTGTAAAATATACAAGATGTTAATATAATTTAAAGTAACGCATTCACTTAGTTTATCTTTAATATTATCAATGCAAACACAATGTAGAGCAAGTAGATCTCCAACTAATCATTGTTGACTTCCTTTTACAACAAAACACTGCAGAACACAATGACATGTTTGAACTTGGAATATTCTAATTGTACTTACTTATACTTATGAGGTTCATAATTGTACTTATTGTATTCATGGGGTTCATAATTGTACTTACTTGTATTTATGGGGTTCATAATTGTACTTACTTGTATTCATGGGGTTCATAATTGTACTTACTTGTATTAATGGGGTTCATAATTGTACTTATTGTATTTGTGGGGTTCATAATTGTACTTACTTGTATTTATGGGGTTCATAATTGTACTTACTTGTATTTATGGGGTTCATAATTCTACTTACTTGTATTTATGGGGTTCATATTTTGCCTTTGCTTTAAACACTACCTGAAACACATAGAAGGGAAAAGAATTGATGAATTAATGAAACATTCCAAGTATACTATTGTTTAGACTGTATTTTCATATGAATTGAGAGCCAGTTTTGTTGAAAGAGATGGGAATTTTAATATAAAAACCTGATTTTAAAAGGAATTTAGAATAGAGTGTTATGGGTGTACTAAATAATAAAAATAGATCTTGATTCGCAACATCAATATCTGATTTATCTTCTAATTGAATTTATGAAAATCTCATTGAAAGATTTTAACTGCAACAAATGATTCATTTCTTCAATCTGATATTTGAATTTAATATCTATTCAGCTTCCTCTCTTCAAAATGGTATTTGGATTGTTGATTTTTAAAAATGCAGATATCCCATGAAATATTTATTAACCACAATACCAAAAGTGTACCATGTACTTTTTAAAACATTTCATTTGATAAACCACATTCCACATAAATTCTAAAATAGATATGATGGGAAATTAAATTGAACAACATTTCCTATATAATGACACTTAAACATCTTCCCTACATAGTGAAACTTGAAACATATGCCCTACATAGTGACACTTGAATATAATCAACATATACTGACGCTTTAACATATTCTCCACATACTGACGCTTAAACATATTCCATGCATTCCGTACTCTATACATACTGACACTTTAACATATTCCATGCATACTGACACTTTAACATATTCTATGCATTCCATATTCTATACATACTGACACTTTAACATATTCCATACATACTGACACTTTAACATAATCCATACATACTGACACTTTAACATATTCCATACATACTGACACTTTAACATATTCCATACATACTGACACTTTAACAAAGTCCATACATACTGACATTTTAACATATTCCATACATACTGACACTTTAACATAATCCATACATACTGACACTTTAACATATTCCATACATACTGACACTTTAACATATTCCATACATACTGACACTTTAACATATTCCATACATTCTGACACTTTAACATATTTCATACATACTGACACTTTAACATATTCCATACATACTGACACTTTAACATATTCCATACATACTGACACTTTATCATATTCCATGCATACTGACCCTTAAACATATATTCTATACTGACAATTTTAATACACTCCATATGTAAACAAAAGCACTTGATGCTTAGTCATCTAAAATTAATAATACTGCTGTGTTATCTATAGGATATATCTAACGGATTCAAAACAGTTAAAACATCACATGATGAATCTAATTTATCACATCACAAGATGAATTAATATTACAAGCTTGGGAAACATTAGTATAGCACTTATGTTCCTAAGATATATTGTTTGATTGAATGTTAATAAATTAAAGTGCACTGGTTTTCAATTGGAAATTGTATATATCATATAATAGCATGCATTTAGTATAAATCTTTCTCCAGTTTTCCAGACCATTTAGCCAGCATTAGAAAAAGCTAAAACTCCTACAAGCTATTCAGATTATCTATTTAATCAATGTGCACAGTTAAAACTGGTTTATTTGACTGATATTCTTCTTCGGGAGACAATGGGACATGTCCTTGAAATGGCTACTGAATTGTGCGGCTTGTGCCATTAATGTCTATAACCTGAAAAGACTAATACGTTGATAAAAAACTCAAAATGAGGTTTAAATCAAACATGACATGATTTTTCATATTTGGAATGTGTAAATGTGTCATTGATCTGTACTGACTACTGAGTGGTAGTTATTTACTCATCTATCCTGATAAGAAAACAGATTCCACATCCTGACATCCTTATATAGGCAAATAGTATTTGTGATAAATAATATTTTTAGAATTTTTGGTTTTACCAACTACATGTACACTCAAATATTCAGAAATAGTAACTACCGAGCATAAAGGTAACATCACTTGATAGGGAAGTCATTTGGGAATTTGACCAACTACCAACCTCTCAGTTGAAAATTTGTTTTCACCAGTTATGAGATTGAAAAATAATTAAAAAGTTATTTTACCATTCTTTTAATCAGCATTAATAAAACTCGATTTTATTTAACCAACCTGTTGAAGATTTAGAAATTCAAGAAAATTTGAGATGCACCATTTCGTGCACCATTTAGGACGTGAAAATAATGAAATACAACTTTGCTCTCAAAATTCCTTTGGAAAATCTCCGTGTCATGTATGTATTAATATCCCAACAATGAAAGTTATAAGGTTGAATAAATTGGCACTCATTTCAAATTACTATTCCTCCTCATCAAGTTGAGTGAGATTTCTGATCATGTGGTACTACATTAACCAATCAAATTACACAGATTCTAGCAATGATATAATAATATTTGTTATCAACTTGAGTGATGATACAGCAAAATGACAGTAAGTGCTTTGATTTAATATAATTCAAGAGACAATCACACTACAGCTCCTGTAGAGGTACAACCTGATAAAACCAGGGGAATGTAAACAGAATTGGCCTTCATTTGAGTCAATGTGTTTACATTCTGAAATAGTATCTTTTATCTGTTTGTCTCAGTAATATTATTATCTGTATGTATAAAACGGGGTCAACTGACTGACTTACTTGGACTTAAAACCTGGTCAGAATAATGAAATTGTCATGTATGAGTTTAATTTCAACATGACAAACTGATGAAGGTTCTTGTAGGTTTCCTCATTGTATGCTCCTCAACCTCACATTTCATAATTAAAGTATCATATCTAGTTTTCATAAAATTTATGATATAGATATTGGGGTATGGTTAATATTTGCACATCCCTCAAATTAACCAATCCTCACAAATTCAACTCAGTGATTTGGACTAAATGTACTTAGAAATGCCTGAGTTTTCCAATTTTAAGTACAAATATCAGGCCCGTAGCCAGAATTTTCAAAGGGGGTTCACTTTTTCCAAAAATTCTAGGGGGGGGGTTCACTTTGGCAAATTTGGCCAAATATCACTCGAAAAATAGGCAGAATGGTGAAAAACTGCATGATTTTGAAAAAAAATTTGGCCAGGGGGGGGAGTTCGCCCAAACCCCCCGAACCCCCCCCCCCCAGCTAAGGGCCTGAATATCAAAATAATTTTGATCTACTAATGTCAAAGATTTATATTAACAAACTGCGTAACCTTTTTGGTCTTCACTAAACAACGTGTGCAAGACTTTCATATCAAACAGCAATCATCACAATAATGAACTAACATAATCATTAATGTCAACAGGGAGACTATCTGGCAGCGAAAGTTCTTCAAAACTCTTCCATGAGAGTGCAAATGAAATTGAAAGAAAAATTCTATTTGAGGACTAAAAACTAAAAAAGTAAGAAATTTTTGTTCCGGAACAGAACAGATATGTTGAATATTTGTTATGTGTTCCTACCGAGAGCCTAATGACACGGGTCTGAACAAAATCGGGTAGCTATCCAGGACACCTCTAATGAATATTGAGTTTACGTGTATGTGCATCCTCCTAAGCAGGTATGCAGAATCCGTACCTCCTTCTTCCCAGCTATAACCAATTTGGAAGCGCCCGATTAAACTGAATCATGTGATCTAATTATGCGCAATGACTTATACATGATTTCTGTCACAGTGTTGCGACAGCCAATCAGATTGTGAGTTCTTAATCAAGGAAATGCTAACTGCTTATCGCAGGGGGTAAAAAGAAAGAATATATTCTGGATTTTGAAGCCCTGTGATCGGAGAATGATGTATGTGAAACTAATAACAGAAAATAATTTATATCATTCAGAGTCGAGTGTCATATTAATCATTGCCATATAGTATCCTGGAACATGTATTTTATTATATATTTTCCTCTACTATCATGCAGGTCCAACGATGCACGTTGAAAAAATGTTGTATGTAATTGAAAGCCCATGAAAATACTAAATTCTTTTTTAACACATCAAAGTATGCGATAAATGCTCATACATACCTGTGCAAAGAAGAGTACCAGGAGGCAGAGTGTGATGAACTGCAAACATACCGGACAACAATATAGCAGCCAGTATGGGAATGTGTCCAAGTTATTCGCAAGGATGCAATTATCAAAATAAAATGAAAACAATGTTACTCTGAGTCCAGCCCATAATAAGCACAAAAATAAGAAAACTGTCTGATAACTCAATCGTCTATGTTTGTACCAAAGGATCATCCATAACTGTACATAAACTGCTAAAAACACAAGTCCGTACAAAACTGTAAAAACCCACGTCAAACTCAGGTGAGTTTTGGGCGATAACGCAGGAACGAGAGTTGGCTGGACGATTGGAATGGATCCTGGTGTTGCATTGTGTATTTCTACCATTCCCTGTGTGATATTCCTATCATTTTCTTCTATAAAAGGCATTATTGTGTTGTTCTTCTTACATTTTGTCAAATCCGGAAGTAAGTTTGTTTTTCTACGGACTGAATAAAAACCCGGATGTTGAAAAAGAGGAGGAAAAAACCCAGAATTCATAGATAACCTTGTAGTGTATTCCCTTTAAGATGAAAGTAGGTAAAATATTTGGAAATCTCAACAAAAATCTCCTGTTCTAATTTGCACATCAAACTCTACACATATGCTTAAGGCCTTCCCGAAGTTTCTGGCTAAGACCAATTGGCATTTTTTGAAATTATAGGCTAAGGCATGGGCTTTCAACTAGAAGGGTAGGCAACTTCCCATATTTCATACATAAACATTGCCATGGGTTTTCAAAATTGGAGAATGTACACATTCCAAGAAAATCTTATTTTGTACTTTTTATTGATGATTGAAAGAAATAACTCAAAAATAAAAACATGATCTTCTACATACATCTTGATAATTTAATAAAAATTGGAATTCATCATAATTATGACAATACAGAAAGTGAACATTCTCCCACAAATTATGTTTTTATTGGAATGTGTTCTTGAATAATTACCCACAATGCAATACTCAAAGAGAACATCTTGATAACTCTTATTCTTATTGGTCTCTTTTGTTTACTTTTATATGATATTGAATATATTTAATGCTTAAATCATATTAAAAATTGATTTTTATTCAAAATAATACTAAAACATATACATTTATCTAATACTTTTTGAAATATTGCCATAAAAGGGAAGCATGCCATTGCTCATTTTGAAGGTCTCATGTTATTACATAGAGTAGAAATTAGTTTAAAATAAAGATGGCAAGGTAATCGATCTGTATTTATTTATAAATACAAGAGGGGGAGAAACCCTAGGGTTCAAAGATGACATACGCTTAGAATGTAAATCTGTATTGAGATGACATCGTCGCTGATTGGTTTAGCGAGTCGATCGTTGATTGGTTTCAAACTAGGTCAATTTGAAAACTTTGAAAACCAAGATTGAGGGTAAACAAAGTCAACAAATATACGTACTTCCTGGAAAGGAAGTGCGCGAAGGAGGAAATCATCATCAATTGTATCATGGGGGTTTCCCTCCTCTTATAAATACATAATGTAAATATAATACTGGATTCTGTTGGTGCTGCCACCTTTATATCGGCCCAGAACCTATGTTTAACAGTACGAGTGCTGATGAGACTGAGGCAGGTTATAACAACATGGCTGGATAATCGGAAATACCATGGGCCTTCAAGAGAGGGGCATGCAAGTTCCCATATTTCATGATATTAGCATCCTGTACACTTTCCAAGAAAATTTCATTTTGTACTTTTCATGCATGACTTTAAAGAAATAACTCAAAAATAAAAACATGATTATCTGCATATAATGTTGATTATTTAATACAAAGTTGAATTCATCATAAATATGGCAATATTGAAAGTGAACTTTCTCCCACAAATTATGTTTTTCATTAGAATGTGTTCTTAAATAATTAACCACAATGCAACACTCGAAGAGGACATTTTCATACCACTGGTGTTTTTGTTTACTTTAATGAGATTAAACATGTTTTATGCTTTAATCATTCAAAAGTAATTTTTCTTCAAGATAATACATTCATCTAGCTACTCTTTGAAATGTTATCAAAAAGGGAAGCATGGCACTGCTCATTTTGAAGTTCTCATGTCTATAACAATAGAGTTGCATACCCTTCTCTTAAAAGCCCATAAATACACAGAGCCATCTTTATGTTGTAATTACAGCTACAATTAACAAAATTAACAAAAACACGAAAGCAGACATTCTAGGATCAAAAGAATATATAAGCTTGCCCGTAGCCAGCTTTTACCAAGGGCAGGGGGGTGGGGGTTGACAGTTTTGGCTAAACAATCACGCAGAAAGTGCTCAGAATGGTGAAAAATTGCATGATTTTAAAAGAATTTCTGGCCAGGGAGGGGAGGGGGCAGCTCCCAGTGGCTACGGGTCTGATAGTGATAAGTGTAAAGAAATATGAGAAATATGGAAAACCATACTGGAAAGTGGAAAGAAATATGAGAAATCATGAGAGGATCCATACTGGAAATATATCATAAAAAAGATATTTTATTTTTGTTTTATTTGCAGTTCATATGCTTTAAGCTTACTAGGGGATTTCTATGCTTTATTTGTATTATTCGGTTATAATATTTTATTATGTTTTTAAATTGTACTGTTACGTAATCCATAACTATGGTGTAAGGTACTTACCGCAGTGGATTAATTGATTAACTCTAGCTCTATCTTGACTACCAAATCAGAAATCAATGTAGCATTTATATCTAGAAATATTAAATACGCTCAAATATTCAAACTATATCTGATTTCAATATGATATTTATCTCCCTAAAATGGATACCGGAGTTTTGTATGTTTTATATAATCAATGCAAGGTCAACTGCTGGTAAAAATCGAAACCCATCTAACATAATCAATCCCTTCGAGTATAATACGCACAATAGGAACAATGGATTTGAGGATGTGCAATGTACATTACAATAGATTTATTGATGTAAGCAATATACTGGCGTTTCGTAACGAAAATCGTTATCCAAACATGTGACTAAATCAGATATACCATCTTGTTACAATTACACTGTTCATAAAGTTTCGTCCTTTCTCAACTCACGAACCATTAGAGACTATTTTATTTGTTAAGCATTTTGTTGTTTTTTCCTTTATTTCCTCATAAAATGCCATGATCTGGTTAATTTTTTCTGGTAAACAGTTCTTATTTAAGGCGACGCTATATTAAATAAAAAGCACAAAAAATGACTGCCATATTTTTTTGATAAAGACACATGTTTTTAAAATCTGTTTACCTTGTATATGAATTGTGTATCTTGACTAATGAAACATGTCAAAGTTAACATCACACATAAATGCATTTTTCCAAACTATGAATTGGAGGTGCATGGATCCCCAAAGCTAGCATGAAGAGTGCAAAGTGAGGCTAATTTTTGAAAGTTTCAAGGAGTAGCCTTGCAACAGTCACACATTTGCAAGAGTCTAAAATTTCCACAAATCATCTTACCTTTCCCAGGAACAACGAAGGAGCATGAAAATGTGCACTTCTTGCATTGTTAGAGTATAATAAAGCTCAAACCATTGTAAATTCCAAATATTTCATGTCCACATTTTGTTTGCCGGAACTACTTCTAGACTTCCTGATTAATCCTCATGCAAGTTTTGTGACTACACCAAGTGGCATGGATTATCACTTGTATGTTTTATCTATTACAGTGTAATTATCATGGTAGATACATGATAGAGGCTTTATGAATGATAAACAATGGAAACATGAATGAAGATAACTCTGGACTAAAAATTAGTTCCAGGAAACGGGGATTTCATGAGGCTTTTGAATAAAAAAAGTCATCATCTAAATATATATATAGCTTTCCTATTTGCTTTCATGGATTATTGATATATTATTTTAATCTAAGATGAAAAATATTTCTTCATCCTAGTTTTAATAAAGATTCCCTCCCATATTAGTGCACCCATGGGCTTTCAACTAGACTTTCAACTAGAAGGGTAGGCAACTTCCCATACTTCATACATAAGCATTGCCTTTGGGTTTTCAAAATTGGAGATTGTACACATTCCAAGAAAATCTTATTTTGTACTTTTTATGGATGATTTAAAGAAATAACTCAAAAATAAAAACATGATTATCTACATATATGTTGATAATTTAATAAAAAATGGAATTCATCATAATTATGACAATACAGAAAGTGAACATTCTCCCACAAATCATGTTTTTATTGGAATGTGTTCTTGAATAATTACCCATAATGCAATGCTCGAAGAGAACACCTTGATACCTCTTATTCTTATTGGTCTTTTTTTGTTTTGAGGGTCTCATGTTATTACACAGAGTTGCATACCCTTCTTATTTAAAGCCCATGCAGTACCGTTCCAATGCTCATATTCAAATCAAAAAGGAATTTGATTCTGAGTAACTCATTGTAACTCAAATGTCTAATAAGAAGGAATGTCATATCTCGATTTTGAATAAAGAAAGATTTTCACGATGAAAAAATATAGAATCTTTGAGACTATTTCCCTCATAACAATGGATACAAAGAAGATATCTAATTCCAACTTTTGAAGAGGGTTGTTCTAATCTCACGAAATAATGACCCTTCAAGATGATCAATTTATTAGACCTAAGGGTGATGTTGCAGTATAATAGGCATTAATTCGTCAGATTTTCAGGTGTATTTATTTACAACCATACTATGCATCAAGTCATCGATTTCTATTATAGCCGTCGGAGTCTTGGAGACAACCATTAACAGTGTACGTCAATAAAAGGCGTGGCAGTGTATGTGCCTCATATAACACGTTTATAAGGTATACACAGAAGTTATCCAATATCCCAAGCGGAGACATATAACACAATATATGATCCTGAATCCATATAGCAGAGTAAACGAATAGGCATGGCAGAACACGAGGATGGGACAGATATGGATTCTAAAAGCAATGATAAGAATAAAGGAGCCGACGACGAGCTTATTAGTTCAACAGAAGATGCAGAACAAAATGAGATTGACTTAGATAGGGCACTGGATTATATTGAAGATAAAGACAACAGTTCAACAGCGGAGGAAAGTGCTAAAGAGGCTGGTAGTAGAAATGAGCGGACAGGAGTGGATTCAGTTATTCTACCAAATGAGGAAAATAACGACAAAGAAAATGGTTTGGATGTTGAAAGGAATAAGTCAAGTGCATCCGAAGAGATGAAAGAACAAAAGGAAAACGAAGGTGAACTTCAGAGCTCTATAAAAACGACCAACGATAACAAATCCATGGAAAAGGAGAAGGACAATGTTATTGATGATAACGTTTCGAATAGAACTGAAGCATCGGACAACATCAGCACCTATACAGAAGAGCAAAAAGTTGATTTAGACAAAAATCCTTGTGAAGATGATGTAGATGTCGAAAAAGGATATTTGGAAAAGAGTATTGGGAAAGCGGGAAAAGAAACTCCCAATGCTGGCATGGATACTGCTGACAAGGAAAAAGAGCCAATACGGTTTTGTAAATTCATCGCAGAGAAACCTTGTGTTGCTTTTGGTGAGTTAACTATTTGTACATGTCTACCCGAAGATATGGGCTAGTTGAACTTATTGATCATATCATTTAAGTGTGATTTATTGATAATAGTTTTACCCTTTAACTTATCTAATTTCAGGAATCGCTCTCGGAGGACATATTCTATTGACACTGGTAACTGGTATCTTATTTGTATCGGGGTATGACATCCTACCTACCAATTTCAAAGCGGTGCCTCTTGATCTCACAAACGATGACCACTTTCTCCGCGGAGAAGCTTGGAACAACAAGGATGATGATCCAACCATTCATTCCAAACTCGTCAGTGGTACAGTGCTCCAAAAACAAGCGTTCAAGTATCAAGCAATAGAACTGATGTATGAAATTCCCAATGGGAACGTTTTCACGAAAGCCACTTTAGAAAAAATAGCGGAGGTTGAGCAATCTATTTTTGACCTACCTAACTTTGGGGATTATTGTTTGGCTGCATCAGACGGTAGTTGCAAAAAGGCATCATCTATCATTCGCTTCTTTGATGGGAGTTACAGCGCACTAAGTGTCAGCCTTAATGATCCTACCTTTGAGAATATCCCGGCAGCGTTGAACTTTGCAAATACAAGCGACCACACTAAATCAGGGCTGCAATACCATCTCGGCAAAGAGGCAAATGTGGACATAGCGACAAATGCAGCATCTTCAGCCATTACGCGTTCTGTTATTTACCTAGGTTGGCCACTTGATGGCTATGACAACTTCGAAGATCGCCAAACTGAACAGACAGACAAAATCGAGAATTTTCTTATGGACACAGTGCGAGCCAAGCTCTACGAACTGATCGATACGGGAGTTGGTGATGCGGACTTTATATTCAATTGTAGAATTCTTTATACCGAAGACTTGAATTCCCAAGTGATCCTGGATATGATGTTGGCTGGTGGAAGTTTCACGTTCATCTTCGGCTTCATGTGCTTTCAGACCAAATCTTTGTTCATAAGTGGATTTGCTATAATGAGCATCCTCACCAGTTTCCTTGGCGCAAACATGATTTATAGGATCGTTCTTGACTACGCGTATTTCGGAATTTTCCACGTTCTCTCCGTTTTCATCATCCTTGGTATAGGAGCGGATGATATATTCGTGTTTTACGACACGTGGCGTGCAAGTGAACTGGGCAATTATCCAACACTTGCCCACCGACTATCGGACTGCTATAAAAAAGCCGCAAAGGCCATGTTCATAACATCACTAACTACAATGTGCGCATTTTTTGCAAGTGCCTTATCACCTCTGCTTGCAGTTTCCTCATTTGGTCTATTTTCTGGGATATTAGTATTTGTTAATTACTGTAGCGTAGTCATATTTTTCCCAACGGTTGTGGCTGTTTACCATGTTAAATATGAACACTGGACTTGGCCATGCTGCAGGCCATGTACGAGCGCGAAGATTACACCCTCAGAGAGCAAGAAAAATCTCGTAGAGGAAATTAAAACCAAAAACATTATTGTAACATTCTTTGAGGAGAAGTACTTCAGATTCGTTACACATAAAATCATACGATGGGTGATAATGGTTTTCTTCACTGGCCTGTTAGGGTTCTTCATTTACTATGCAACACTGCTGAAACCAGACGAAGAATCGGTAAGATATCTTATCCCTAAGACCATACTCTACCAGAGGTCCGTGAATACAGTTATAAAATGTACTGAAACAAAGTTCCTTTCTTTCACCAACTCTCGTATCGATCGCGATGAGTATGTCCATCTTTCACCCATCTTTATCTTTATCAGCTTTATATGTGAGAGAGGGATTGATGGGTCTCTGTTCTCAGTCACTGGGATTGCTTTTTCCTTCCTGTTGAAATGATGTGAACATGGGGACTGACTGCTTGTTCTGTTGTTGTGTATTCTTGTTCGGTCAACCCATTCTGCTATTCTCTGTGGCACTTTGTCATTCTGCCATTTGTACCGGTGTAAAAGGGTAGGAGGTCCTATCAAAATATGGTCCTTCTCTTCATTGATTTATATGGTGACCTCTTTCCCTTATTATCTTATACATAATCAGGGCCAGAAAGGGCTGTTAAGAAAGGGGACCATAATCCTGGGGGACCATAATTTCTTTCACACCGGCCATCACCGAGTGCTATCTGGCAACTCCTCAAGATGTGGGTAAGGGTACATTTGGGGTTAGTATTAAGTCTATTGTCTCGAGAAATGCTTCTTGGATTGCTACAAGGATTTCTCCCTCCGAGGTAACTGCTCGTGGCTTGATCAGTAAGTAATTGCGTTGAAAAACATGTATATTGTTACTAAGAGGATGGTGCATCAAAGCACCCTAGTAGCCCAATGGAAAGCAACTGTATGTCATTTGAAGATGCATGATAAGCCAATCTAGTTTTACATTAAAATGCAAGGAGTAATTATCAAGATTAAAAAGTGCGTACATCTAAGCCCCGATCAAGATATGTAACGTGTTATGCCGCCAATTGTAATTGTATCCTATCTATATCGAGATTGGGATTGGGGCTGCACAAAAATAAAATTTAAATATTACCTTTTACTTCATCAATATGATGAACCATTTGCGCCATTTTGGAAACTACATTCATCGGAACGGTCACCCAACTGGTTATGGATTAGCGCTAATGGATTTATTCAATCAATAACGTATATTGAATCGTTTCAATTGTGTATATTATCGAAGAATGTGTATGTAATCTATGCAATTACATTGCCATTGTTTTAAAAGGATTCTACAACAGTATGTAAACACTATACAGCGAAACCTGTGTATATTGAACATTTTTTGAAAAAAATGTTCAGTGTTGGTAGGTGTTCACTTCAGAGAGGGTAATCTATACATACGAGGGGTGATCCAAAAGTCTTGGACGCCCCGCTCTAACTTTGCTATTTTTTTAACAAAATTACATGAGACTTTCAGATAATAAAGATCAACATCTAAACAACTTTATGTATACGTTTCAACAGAAAATAATATATTTTAGCTACTTTTCTAAATATTTTTTCATACCGGGTCCCTGCCACCCGGAACGGTATTTAAATATAGCAAATCACGTCACAACTGTTATAATATGGCAAATAGGTTAGGTGCAGGTGCACAACCTAACACCAGCCATGATATGAGAGAATTTTCGATTTTCAATCTGAGTGTCATCTGCCATCATCATCTTCACATATTAAGACCTACTTTTCAACATATTTATCACAAATTTGAACACATTTTTCATTATACTTTACCAATGAATGGAAGACATTTATGAAACCACCATTGCTTATGTGATACAAATGCTGCTGGATTGCTACTCTAAACCTCATCCAATGAGTCAAAAACATTTTCTTTCAACCCTCCTTTCAACTTGGAGAAAAGGAAGAAAATCACACGGAGCCATAGATACAGGTAGACTGTATCATGCATATGGTAGCTGCTCAAGGTCAATAATAGTGAAAATATCTTGTAGTATTCTTTGTTCCACTTTGATTTCTTTCGTGTTCTGCATTTCAGCAGCCACCTTGCAGCAAAAATAATGCCAGATTGAGGGTTGCTTGTTTGATGGCATTTTCTTAGAATTTGACATGTACGGCCATTGTCATATGTGACATTATAATTAAAACACAATTAATTGGTTGCCTAGTAACAAAGGAAGTAAACTAACGTGGTTTAACATTCAAAATTTAAAGAAATATAGTGGTCAAGACTTCCGAAACAAGTGAAATGGCGGTAACATTTAAGGCTGAAAGTTGCCATGTGCGAATACCGTTCCGGGTGGCAGGGTCTCTGTATTAAAAACTATTTAGAAAATTATATAAAATATATCATTTCTCCATGAAATTAGTACACAAGGTAGTTAGGTTGTTGGTCTTTAATATTGGAAAGTTTAAAGTAATTTTATCAAAAACCAACAAAAATAGAGCAGGGCGTCCAAGACTTTTGGATCACCCCTCGTATGTCAGTAGAGCATGTGCGTTGGAATGGTGCCAACTAGAGAAAGACGTTCACTAGAGAGATTTGTTCAGTAAGACATACGTTATCAAACGGTATTACAGTAGAAATGTGTTATCGTTGCAAGACCTTCCAAAAGTATCTATGCATTTGTCAATATTGTTTTAGACAACATACATATTTAACATTCGTGATAGGTGAGTCGTCAAAATTGATAATATGTACGTGACAACAGAATGTTACCTGGTCGCCTGGTCAATAACCTAAGTATGGATTGCATTTACCGTATCACTTACCGAGTAAAGCAAAGAATAGTATCGACGCGAGTTGTGTACCTTTACAAGTGAATAATAATAGGGGGGTTAAGCAACTCATTTCTCTCAGCTCATCTTAATTAAAACAGACGTTATTCGATATTGTTCTTCTCTGAAAATATTACAGATTTTAAAATTTGAGATGCGTCTATTATTGTTAAAAACGACACGTAGAGCTTCAAATTACAAATGATCATTCTTAAAATAAGAAAATAATTAAGCTACACATTTATATACAAAGCGTGAACACGAAACTGTGTTTTCAAGCTCACGTTTGCAATTGCGTTTGCTTCGCGTTCTGCTAAGCTACGTCAACATAAAATCAAATTTTGTGTAACCAAAGTTGTACAACCTTTGCAAAATGGCGTCTGTACACTATTTGTTCTATTAAGTGATACACCTTATATTCTAACATGATTGTCAAAATAATCAGCAAAAATTGATCCACTGGTCTATAATGAGGTACATATTTCATTATCAATAACGTATCTGTTCAACTTATTCATTTTAAAGTTTGATTTGTCAAAACCCAATGATGATGATATATGATGACATAAAATGATACAATTTAGTTTATCATATAACATTTAAAAAAAGTTTATTGACAAATAGCAGTGACAGAAGAAAAATTGTTTGTATTAAACCAACCCAGTCTAGCTATACGCCTCTGTGACCCCCTCCCCCTACTTGACTAAACACCTCACTTGTTGGCAGGGGCTTGGAGCTAGACTAAAACCAACACAATTGAAGATCATGTTTAAGATGACATTTTAGCGTCGTAATATTGATTTTATATTCTCTGCATTTAGGTGAAAATCTATAAAGAGGATACTAACTATGGTAAAGCTAACTTAAAACGGTTGAATGCCTTCAAGCCTAGTTCAGAGGATGACATCATCCACGTTTATCTCGTTTGGGGGCTCAAGAACCAGGACAGATCAATGTGCCATAAAACTGACTTCGAAAACTGCACGGGAACCACAGTTTGGGACAATGGATTCGATCTCAACCCGGCTCCAGCTCAAAAAGCGATTAAGGTACACAATTTACAACCAAATCATAGTTCTTAGTAGTTCGATAGTAAAGTATAAAAGAAATATAAATAAAAAAAAAAAACGAATTTAGGATCGCGTATCAAAAGCAAGCACATATCTTTTGCTGTTTATTTGTTTTATGTAACGATTATTTATTTTAAGAAACTTTTACAGTACTATGATGTATTTTAATACATTTTGCCACCTATATATCTTCATATAGTCATTATACAAACGTATATAAATATCAACTAAATATATAAATGTGCATATAATTTGAATGCCAGGAACTCTGTCACCGTCTCAGGACACTGAGTAATGAAGAGAATGAGAATCTCCACATCAGGCGTGACACCGTCACAAACCAACTTGAAATACAGTGCTTTGTAGAAAACATGGATACTTTCCTTCAGGTATGAGCTTGGTTTTCTAAATGAAAATGAATCTTTCGGAACAAGTGATTTGTTATCACTTAGTAACGAACGAACGAAGTTCGGTATGGACATATATACAAATACCAGTTGACAGAATTTCTTCTGTTTGGGGGAAAGATGTTTAAAATGGCAGTCACTTAAAAAATGGCGAGACTTTTGTAAAAAAATATGTTTCAATTTTCAACCAAAGTGGCGTTGAGAAAAAAATAATAAATATAACTGTTTGTTTAAGGTGTATTGTATCTACTTCACATCTACTCCTTTGTTTTAATTCCAGGGGCCGTGAATGGGGGTCAGGAATACAGGAATTTTCGTTAATTTTGAGAACTTTCTGAAATATAGCTCTATCATACTCAGATAAAAAGCAATTTAGAGAAGATTGCAAATATTGTATGATCGTTTTTCTGATTCGGGCCCCAGAAAATTCAAAATTACCGCTGAATGTTTGATTTCGTTTAATTTCCCGATCTGTTCAAAGTATGGCTCTATTATACACAAATTGAAGGAATTTTAGAGGAGACCACAATTATTGTATTGTTTTATTCAGTTCGTGCCTCAGAAAATTCAAGGGTCACTAAAGCCAGAATTCGCTAAAATCTTTTCAAAGTATATGGTTGCATTATTCTACATTAGATCTTAAATATCTTATTGTCTTTGATACTCCTAAATGGTCACCCAAATGCTTAATTGGTGGGAATTTTGATATATCTCCAATGTCTTTCTTTCATTATCTACAAATCAAGGGCAGAGTAGATAAAAATTGCATGATGACAAATAAAGATTCATGAATATTTTGTTAGTTGGGATCTGCTACTCCGTGGGGATGCTGATTTCTACTCGTATAGCAATTTCTGTATTAATAATAATATCCCGCGATATAATGATCAGTAAAATTGATCAATCGTGTATCCAAATGATGAATTAGTTGTGTAAGCTGAATATAATGTTTAGCCTGGCTCATTAATTAGGATCTCATAGTGTAATTTGAAATGTTTGTGCCCATAAGGCAGTACTGAATAGTATCTAATATAATCAAATATTAGTCGCATGTGGTGTGAGTACGATTAGATAATTGTTTTATTAGGTATAGTTTATCAATGTATCGCTATTGACCTCGTTGGTACACATTGAGCATTATGAATCTGGTATCTTTGAAAAGATGTCGCTAGAAAGAATCAATAGATTCTATTCTCCTCTGACATCTATTTTCCAAATATCAAGATAAAAGTGATATCGAATTATAGTTCTACACTTTCCCCCGCGAAGAATGCGAGTTTGTCCTCAAAGTATATCCCGTTTTGATTTGTTAATGTTTTTGTTTACTTTTATAATACATGTTGAAATCAAGATATACAAAGCATAAACAAAAATAGAATCATTTCAATCTCCATCCTCCATGTAGCAGTACAGTACAGATAGCTTTGGTTAAATATAACATACATGTATTTTTTCATGTTGCTGTAGAAAAAGTAAAATAAAATGAAATCTATCCCCTTTTGATAGGATGAATCTACCACATTGAACGCTCTCAACGTACCCAAATATCCAACTGGAACTAATCTATCACTCCCAACAACTTCAGAAAGGATAACGACAATCATGCAGGCGAACCCCCATGTATACGACCTTAGTAAAAAGTCGGACACATTTTATAGATATTTTGAGGTGAGTGTAAACAATATAAACATTTTTTATTTCCAACCTCATTACGCATTTATACATCACAAAATTGGATTAAAAATGACACTTAATATAAACTTTAAATAAAAGGCGGAGCAGTATGGTTCACCAGTTCGATAATCATTCGTCATATCTACGACACATTTCCAATTATTAATGTACGTTTGATTGCCCTCATCCTCTGAACACAGGCCTCCAGAACTCGTACCTCCTACTTCCACATCGTGGATGATGTCTGGAGCCCTGCGTTCAGAGAATGGGTTGCCCCATAATATATATACTTACAATGTCACAGCCCTTCAATGTCAAAATGCTAATTTAGATGATAGTTTATTTTTGTAATACTATACGCCCATTGCCCATACAAATTAAATATTTTCTGTTCACGTGTAGGTTGTGAAAACCATTGCAAGCTTTAACTCCCTGATTATCATTATATTCGAATTATATAATAGGTTGCCCTATCATATTGGCTGAGCAACCGGTATTCAGGAGCACCAAGCAGTGATTATGAGACATTCTATTCTCTTATCGGCGAAGCTGATGATAGCGTCGATACTCAGGAAATTGGCACAACGGGTGAGTTTTATCAATAGACGAACTTATATTGGTGGTTTGAGGTTTCCATAAGGCAATAAAGTCCGACTGATCCCGTTGTTATGTTTTACGTTAGAAGGGATCAGGTCGCGCAAAAGTAAGAGGAGGGAAAGCCCCAGAGTTTAAAGATGACAGACATAATTACGTCTCTTGCTTACCACCTTCGTTCGTTCGAATTTTCATCGGCTAGTTATCAAATACTACACTTCGATGGGATGTTTTAATTGATATAGGTATATTCCATACACATTTCTTTATCTTGATGTGAAATGAGAAGCTATGATATTGGTTAACACGCCAGAAATGAACATAATATCATTCGAAGTGTATTTCGAAAATTTTGAAACCGCCATTGATGACGTCATTTGTTTGTCGACGTTTGACCAATCAGCGACGATGTCATCTCAATACAGATTTACATTATAAGCGTATGTCATCTTTGAACCCTGGTGTTTCTCCCCCTCTGCGTAAAAGTTATACCCCGTACTGTTCTAAAGGAACGAATGCCTTAAGGCATGTGATATAAGGGTCCTTCCATCACTGTCCTTCCTGTTTGAGACGTGTCTGCACAGAGGAGTTGAGATCCTTTTGTACACAGTCAGTTTCTATCTAAAGTTGATGGTAGCTATTGTAAATATCAAAATTCGATTACCGAGGCTCAAAATAAACATAAAATTAATTCACTTTTTTATTTCCATTTCCATTTCATTTCCTATTGACTTTTCAGGCTACTATTACGCCACGAGACTACGCTATGCAGCCATTATGATCAACACGACATTGCCATATGGAAATATAGGCTATGAGTTTGGCCTTCCGGTCGTAGACGCCTGGGAAACATTTTTCAATGATGAGGTAAATATCAAAATAATGGCGATAACCAGAAGATAAGTGTATTGAAATAAGATAATTTTGACGAAGGTCTTCATTTTTGTGATTACTTTGTGATATACAGTATTTGCATTTCAGATGTAAAACAAGATTATTATCACATCAATGGAGAAATTATTTATTTTTATTTTGCTTTCCAGAAATTGTTTTATAATCACTTTTTCAGTCGAAGAACATATACCATCCTCAGTACACCAGAGAAAGTTGCATTTAACTACAAATCAATTTAGTAATTATTACTTTCAGTAGTAGATTCCATCGTCAGTAAAGGGAGGGTAAATATGCACCACGGAGATGTATGCATTCATTTACAAATCTTTCCTGTATAACTTTTCAGAAGATACCATCGTCAATACTTTGGAGGTTTACTGTACACCAACTAGAGAAAATTGAATATATTTATAAATCATTTAGCTTACATTACTATTTCAGTTGAAGAAGATGCCACCTTCAGTTCAAGGAGGGTTCATGTGTACACCAGAAAAGAGTAATAGTTGGCACTGGCTTAAAGTTCAAGAGGTACACTCCCCTTAAAAACGTTTGCAATTTGTTATACCGACTCTCCATTCGATATTCTCCACTCCATATTTGTTTACATTAGGTCGACAAAGATGATTCTTTGAATATAATCAGAAGCAGGCTGAAACATGGTTTTCCATTAATCATATTCATAGAAACAATCATATTCATAGAAACATATTTTGTGAGCTGTTAAGGTGGCATATAACACTGTTTATTTTTTCGTGAAGCCACTCAGTAAAATTTTCTCTGCACCTTGATGTCCAGTCAACCTTATTCGAGTATTTATGTGTTCTTGATACGTTTGGGCATCCGGTAATGACAACGTCTGCCCAATGTTTGCACGCGAAATTGACGTTATTCATGACTGAAATCGCGAAGACAAAAATATGTGATGTTCTTTCAGAATTGTTTATAATAACTATTCACAAAAATGTTCCCGAGAAACAAATCCATTCATGTACGGTTTGTTTTAAAGTCAAAAGCCCCAATAAGACAATACAAACCCAGATAAAACCCGGAAGACTGCAGATTTCATGGAATGATTTACGTTCATGTAAACAGGTAAAGTACATATAATCACAAGTAGATCAGAGTCTCTGGAACACTTTTGTAAATAGTTTTTACAAGCAATTTTGTTTGTGAATCTCAAATTTTGTCTTCCCGATATCAGTCATGAATTACGTCAATTTCCCGTGCAAACTTTAGGTAGACATTGTTATTCCCGGACGCTCAAACGTGTCATAAACGTGGAATATATGGATAATTGAATGATCTTGATCGGACATTAGGTTGCAGAGAAATCGTAATTTTACTGAGTGGCTACGCGAAAAAATAAAAAGGCTATAAATGTCAATATATGTCGAGTGGCCGAAAACAATAACCCATGATAAAATTAAAAAACAGCATATTCCAAACGCAGTAAGATGAATTATAAAGTTTAACAACATTAATTCGATTTCTCGCTAATTATTACAATAACCTCGATAAATCAGAATCCATTGTTATAGTATTCCATCATATCTGTGTTGGTTCCCATTGGCTTATCTTTTGCATTTTACCTTTATCGAGATTCTCATCGTCGAATGCTTTAAAGTTAACCTTACAAGAACATAGACGGCCATGGGGTATCAAAATTGTTAAGACGGAAGAACACTGAAATTAAAAAGTCACTATGACATACTAGTATTGAGATCAAAGAGAACTGTGTATTCTTAAGCATGACAGACAATGACTTGTTGGAATATCAATATTCCCTCAAGGCCACTTGAAGATCAATTAAAAACACACTAATGTCCGGCATAAAAAGGTGAACTTAATACCTACGTATGAAGGCGCCAAACAAGGAATATTTTTTATGCCTTTCCCCTGTTGGAAAATACCTTTAAGTTTAACTGCTCGATGATACTTTAATAAGATTTCGATCAAGAATTTTCTATTATTTTCTAAATCGGCCATTCAACCATAACATAAATGGAACTACAAACGGAATAATACCGTTTACAATATCTACTGAGAGCGCAGTGCTATTGAAGTAAAGTTCATAATTATAAAATGTACAACTTAAACAATTGAGTAATGTTTTCGTTGTGTGTAAGATATTGATTTACTCCAAGTATTGTTTACGTTCTATATTATAAGGGGATGGCAATTCTTTGAGTATTCAATTTTACTCCACGGTGACTGTTCCATGCTTCCACCCTATGGTTATGTTACTATTGTGTCATGATTAGCACCTAGTAATATATTAAGCTTTCACGTGAAATAAACCTTTTTGATGCGAGTCTCGGGTCGTTTTTAACTTCACAATTCACTACAACTCGTGTATGATCTCTCACTTGTAACAGGTATGTTCTTGTAAGCTTTGTTAGCTAATGAAAACACACATTTCTCTATTTTATTCACAGCCTATTTCATTTATCGCCATTTTAGGTTCTGTCCAAGTCTGCCATTCAGGGCATCATCATTGGCATCAGTATAGCGTTCCCTGTTCTCGTCCTCGCCACTAACAACATCATAATCGGGTTCATCGCTACCGTATCCATCAGTTGTATTACAGTCACTATCGTCGGCCTCATTCCATTGGTCGGGTGGAAACTAGGGGTAAGATAGGATTACAATGGTTACCTTTGGTGCTATTCTAGTTTCGACAATACACATTGTATATATAAGTTCAGTCCAAACTGGATTTTTTAATGAATCTTATTTTTCAGGGAGAGAAACTAGAATCCATGGATGACATTTATAGTTTACCTTAAAAAGCTTTTTATTTATTGCTTATGTTATGGTCAATCAAAGAATGTTCTGACCTTTCGGAAAATCAATACATATAATAGACCAAATGTGCAATGTAGAAAAACACATTAAATATCCACGGATACTGTGGGACAAGTTAGGCCTTCCAAGAAGCACTACTTAAATTTCCAGTTGACACAATACCAAAAAATCACCAGGGCACAGGTAGAGCAAAGTTATGAAAAGCGCCATTAATAAAAAAGATGAAATAGCCATCCAAGAAGGACCGTTAAAGTCTTTGTAGGACTGACATTCAAAATTGAAAATGAAATACTTCCCCAAAAATTGACGCATTTTTGTATTGTCCATCTTGGAATCTGCATAATAGGAAATTTGATATTAAAACGGAAACTGTCATCCATAGCTTATAGATTCGGTGTTTCAGAAATGAAGGTGATTGCATAGATACATGAAACATAATTTCTGGCCATGGCTGTTCTGGATCACGCAATGTATATTGCAGCGTTAGTTGAAGTAAAACTATGCTATATTTCTCGCCATATGGCAACGCATGTTTGTTTCTTCTCTTCTTGTAACTATACCACTCAGTCATCTTTTACCTCCTTTGAGTACAAATGAAAACAATATGGACAAATAGAATATTGAGATGGAATCTTGATAGCATTAAGCGATTCAAGTATCATTTAAACATGTATTATTTTCACCTTCAGGTACTCGAATCATTGAACCTTTCCTTGGTGGTTGGTCTGGCTGTTGACTACGTGGTTCATCTGGCGGAAGGATATCATAATTCGCCAAAGGTTGATCGGCTCGGAAGAACACAAGACATGTTACGTGACGTCGGTATATCAGTCATATCCGGTTCCATCACTACGCTAGGGGCATCCCTGTTTATGCTCTTTGCTAAGATTCTTTTCTTCATGCAGTTCGGACTGTTCATGTTTGGAACAATAGGATTCGCAATGTTATATGCTTTAGGGTTTTTCACAACACTAATGGGCATATTAGGTCCACAGGGAAACGTTGGATCCATACAACCCCTGAAAACCTGGATTTGGAACTTATTTACTGGCCGCAGTAAAAAGGACGTAAAATGTACCCATTGTAAAGGGAAAGGATTCCATAATCCTGATGTAAAATAGAACGAAGTTGGTGGCCTATGTACATAAACATTAATACACGTGTCTATAGCTTTTAAAGCTGTGTCCAGCACATATGTATGTATTTTCGGAATTTCACATAAATAACGACGAATGTTTAAAAAAATAATAAATAACAGTATTTTAATTAGAGTAACTAATTTATACAAGGTACTTTATACCAAGTCATTCAACGTCCATTGGCTTTATCTTGATGATGGTTTCCATAATCGATGCATACGTTCCATTATATTTTATGTCTAGACTGAGCTTCCCCCAGTACAATCCTCTATAGTCGGGATGAGTCGAAACCGGTTGAAACATGCCATCTGAAGAATATACCGCGTTTAGCCAGGATGCGCTGCATTTATTGTACCACCAACCCGCTTTATAAGAGTCTGCGCAATTGTCTGTATTCGTTGCATCGTGGTCTTCATCGGAGGTGCTGAAGTAACGCCCATTCAGGTCCTTTTTAGCAGGGTAGTAGTCGGGTGTGTGGATAGCATCTCCGGCAGTACCACTATAATCTCCTATCCATAAACGATACCAGTTAGCTTCATTTTCGATGTAGAAATTCTTATAGTTAGCGTAGTACCAACCTCCACTTGGATGTTTCAACTCGAACTCTACCTCCATTCCAGATCCTCTTTGGGTAGTTAAGCTATGAATGTTGTCATTTCCGATCCAGTGTTCCCCAGTCTTTGACGCAATCCCGAACCCTACTTTATAATCGCTCCATAACTTGGAATGAAATGGGATAGAGCCGTTGAAGCGTCTCTGGATGAAGGTCCAACCGCCACCAGTCATATCACAGTAAACTTTGAATGGGGTAGTTGATGCGGGGTAAACGGTGTACACATCATCAGGGCATCCCCATGTGTGCAGATCGTAGCAATCTCGTGGCAAACCTGAATGAAAAAGGACAAACCATTTTATAAATATAGAAATATGGCCTAGTCTTGGTGACTTGTATATTGAGCAAGTCACAAGATTGTTTGGTACTTCATGTATTTTTGGATGTATTTTTTTGTAAGATTGACACATCGTAATAAGATGTGTAAGTGCGCTTGGATGAGTTGTTTTTGTTGAGAACGTGTGACCATTTGCACCGCAGGGGCTTATTGTTTGTCATTCCGGGGAAAACCTAAGTATAATGCAATTGACTCGGACAGCGGGCAGTTCAAAAACGCAGCCTAAACCCCACTAATGCCTGGGTCACATTTGCTCCGATTCATCGGCCAATTGATTGTTTTGTTCAAAATTGTATTCGGTTTGGAACAAAATATTCATTTGCCCGGGCACCGGCCGATGAATCGCATCAAATGTGACCCAGGCATTAGGTAGCAACACAATAGAATGAACTGTAGTTTATTTTAAAGAATACACAGTTGTAAAAAAGAAGAGTGCATTCTTTTTCGTTGCTTTTGAAAAATTGACACTTGGTAAGCTATCCAAAACCAGTACGGCACAAAAGACGATTGACTGTCAAATGCAGTGCACTAAAGTTGAATTAATTATACCCTATTAACTCATTCAATAGTTAAATAGTAAAGACAAAAGAAATCAAATTTTCAACTGTAACTGGCCTGTTACATGCTGTGAACTGAAGCTGAACTAATTGCACTCACTCCTTATAACAGTTACTTACCTCATAGTCATACAAAATAAATAAGATTTTCCTAAAATTGGATCTAAGCCATTCACCTTTTAGAAGAGTCAGTGTGGGGTTTAAGTTAGATGAACCATTCGTATAGGTCTTATGAGGCCCTCGGCCATTATTTCTCATAAAACTCCTAGTTTATCCATAACATAACATCTGAATAATGCTCTAGCTAAATAAGAATTTGGATCCAAAACAAAAATTAAACTGATAATGACGTTTTTCCCATCTGGCTGTCTGGTCTTAATTGAACAATAGTCTCAAGTGGTCCTAATCATAATCAATGACGCTTGGCAGCATATTTTGTAATTGTATTACTGATAAAGTGTTAAAGTGTTTTTCAAGCTACCTATTGACAGTATTCAAGGACATTATACTGAAAATATATTATACTTGAGAACGTGTTTCATTATTACGATTGTACAGTAAGTGATAATTTCCAAATTAAAATTACTATTCAAATAGCCTTTTTCTGGTCTGCATATATCATAAGTAATTCATATAAAGGCATCGATTTTGATGGTAATCATTAAGTCCTTATAATATCCGTCTAATTAGACTCCAGATGAAATCTGGAGTCTATTGTTTTTGCCTGTTTTCTTTTTATTAGACTCCAGATGAAAATCTGGAGTCTATTGCTTTTGCCAGTTTTCTTTATTATTATTCTTTCAGAATCTTCCTCCTTCCCAGATTTCTCACCAACTAGAAGAGCTTACTTTAAGCTGCTTACATGATTAACTAGGGAATGTATCTGGGATGATGGGAAATTAGGTCAAATTTTTATCTAGGTCAAAGGTCAAGAACTAGGTCAAATCCAGTACTTTGTCACTTTTTCCCATTATCTCGGTCGTCCTTCAATATTTTTGATCCTAGTTTTTTTCATTGTGTTCCCCATAAAAAAGTAGATAATCTAGGGTCGATTTAGTTTTTTGGTATCTCAAACCGATTTCGAGATATCAGTGTCCGAAAACGAGGTCCAAAAAATATTTCACCGAATCCAATGTCCAGGATATCAGTCTTATAGGAAATTTTCTCAGGATTCCGAATCTGAAAACCAAATTTCGATCTGACTTCCGGTTCAGAAGTTATGGCGTTTTGAAAATTCAAAAATTGCTAAATTTGGTGCCCCATGTTAATTCAATGGGAAAAAATATTTTTTTGAAGCGTTAAATACGAGATATAGACTAAGCACAGCTAAATATAATGGAAGCCCATAAAAGAAAGGGACCACAAGACCTTCTTTTCATAAAAATTTGGACACCAAAATGCCTAGGTCAAAATCTAGGTCAAATTCAAAGTTTTTCCTTATTTTTGCGATTCTGACACTACAGATTAATTATATTCTTCGAAAATTTGTATACATGTAGCCAAGAGTGTGCTAATAGTGTTAGCCTTTTGCCGTCAGAAAGTATTTTGACCCACTTTTGAGATATGGTGTCCGAAAAGTAGGTCAAACTAAAAAGTTCTCCAAATTTAACGTATGAGTTATGAATTAAGGGTAGAATTTTCTCAGGAATCCAAATCTGCAAACCAAATTTCAATCCGACTTTTGGTTTGGAATTTATGTCGTTTTGATAGCTCAAAAATCGCTAAATTTGGTGCCCCATGTTATGGCAATGGGAAAAAAGATTTTTTTGAAGTGTAAAATACAAGATATAGACTGAGTACAGCTTAATATAATGAAAGCTTATTTAAGAAGGGGACCTCGAAGGCTACTTAGCTCCAAAATTTGGACACCAAAATGCCTAGGTCAAAATCTAGGTCAAATTTGTTTTCCCTTATTTTTGCGATTCTGACACTATATTTAAATGATTTGCTTTAAAATTTTGTATACAGGTAGCAAAGAGTATGCTAATAGTGTTAGCGTTTTGCCGTCAGAAAGTATTTTGACCCACTTTTGAGATATGGTGTCCAAAAAGTAGGCCAAAGTAAAAAGTTTTCCAAATTTAACGTATGAGTTATGAATTAAGGGTAGAATTTTCTCAGAAATCTAGATCTGCAAACCAAATTTCGATCCGACTACTTGTTCTGAAGTTATGGCGTTTTGAGATCTCAAAAATCGCTAAATTTGGTGCCCCATGTTAAATCAATGGGACCGAATAATTTTTTGAAGTGTAAAAATACGAGATAAAGAATGAGTACAGCTAAACATAATGAAAGCCCATAGAAGAAGGGGACCTCAAAAGCTACTTTCCTTCAAAGTTTGGACACCAAAATACCTAGTTCAAAATCTAGGTCAAAAGCATAGTTTTTTTTATTTTGCGATTCTGACACTACACTTCAATGATATTCTCCGAAATTTTGTATACTTGTAGCAAAGAGTGTGCTAATAATGTAACATTTTGCCGTCAATAAGTTTTTTGACCCACTTTTGAGATATGGTGTCCGAAATGTAGGTCAAAATAAAAAATCTCCAATTTTAAAGTATGAGTTATGAATTAGGGGTAGAATTTCCTCAGGAATCCGGATCTGAAATTAAAATTGCAATCCGACCCCCGGTTTAGATTCTACGCCATTTTGAAATTTGAAATTCGCACTTGCCAGTATTCACGATGCAGATTGATCAAATATACTTTCAAAAATTCCTGCATACCCTACTTTACCTCTCTACCTACTCAGCTACTTATTTGACTACTTACTCAATTACTTAATTAGTTATTACTTACTTAGCAACTTACTCAGCTACTAACTCAGGTACTTACTCAGCTACTTACTCAGCTACCTACTCAGCTTTTTACTCAGTTACTTACTCAGCTACTTACTCAACTACTACTAAGGTACTTACTCAGCTAATTACTCAGTTACTTACTCAGCTCTTTACTGATCTATCTAGGTCAAATAAATCTGGAGTCTTAAATTGAACTTGTTCAATTTCACAAATCTAGTTATTCTTTTTCTTCCTCCTAACAGATTTTCTCTCCAACTATAACATCTTACTTAATCCAACTTACATGCTTAACTAAAGATTGAATCCGGCTTTCTGGGAAATTAGGTCAAATTTTTATCTAGGTCAAAGGTCAATAACTAGGTCAAATCTTACATTTTCAACATTCTTCATCATATCTTCGTCAATATTCTTCGTACCTCCTTCATCTTTTTTTCATCGTGTAGCTTAGAAAAAGGCGAATCAAAGATATGACATCAGAATTTTGATTATTCTTACCGATTTTGAGATATGGCGTCCGGAAAGTAGGTCAGAACAAAAAGTTCTCCAAATTCAACATGTGAGTTATGAAATAAGTGTAGAATGATCTCAGGAATCCGAATCTGCAAACCAAATTTGGATCGGACTTCCGGTTCGGAAGTTATGGCGTTTTGAAAGCTCAAAAATCGCTAAATTTGGTGCCTATGTTAAGTCAATGGGAAAAAAGACTTTTTCGAAGTGTAAAATACAAGATATAGACTGAGTACAGCTAAACATAATTAATGCTTATAAAAGAAGGGGACCTCAAAAGCTACATAGCTTCAAAATTTGGACACCAAAATGCCTAGGTAAAAATCTAGGTCAAATTCATAGTTTTTCCTTATTTTTACGATTCTGACACTACACTTTAATAATTTACTTCAAAATTTTGTATACAGGTAGCAAAGAGTGTGCTAATAGTGTTAGCTTTTTGCCGTCAGAAAGTATTTTGACCCACTTTTGAGATATGGTGACCGAAAAGTAGGTCAAAATAAAAAGTTCTCCAAATTGAATATATGAGCTATGAATTAAGGGTAGAATTTCCCAGGAATCCGAATTTGCAAACCAAATTTCAATCCGACTTTCGGTTCGGAAGTTATGGCGTTTTGAAAGCTCAAAAATCGCTAAATTTGGTGCCCCATGTTATGTCAATGAGAAAAAAGATTTGTTTGAAGTGTAACATACCAGATATAAACTGAGTACAGCTTAACATTCTGAAAGCCTATAAAAGAAGGGGACCTCGAAGGCTATCTAGCTTTAAAATTTGGACACCAAAATGCCTAGGTCAAAATCTAGGTCAAATTCATAGTTTTTCCTTATTTTTGCGATTCTGACACTACACTTTAATAATTTACTTCAAAATTTTGTATACAGGTAGCAAAGAGTGTGCTTATAGTGTTAGCCTTCTGCCGTCAGAAAGTATTTTGACCCACTTTTGAGATATGGTGTCTGAAAAGTAGGTCAAAATAAAAAGTTCTCCAAATTTAACGTATGAGTTATGAATTGAGGGTAGAATATTCTCAGGAATCAGAATCTGCAAATCAAATTTCGATCCAACTTCTGGTTAGATAGTTATAGCGGTTTAAAGTCTCGAAAAGTCGATATGATGATATTCCCATGTTAAGCCAATGGTGTCGAAGATAACATTCTTAAGAGTTGTCTAAATGTCTATATTCTAGCTGACTCAGCTTATTCTGAATGACTCAGCTTACAAGTATTTGGATGACTCAGCTTAAAAAAGTCTGAAATCTGGAGTCTTAAATTGAACTTGTTCAATTTACATGTCTAGTTATTTTTGTTTTACAACATATATTTTATTGAAATTTTCACAAAATATGCATTGCAGAAGGACTTTAAATCAAGCAAAAATATTGTCATAGTAACAAGTTTGAATTTTTAATATCTTATATGATAACTTCCAGATCGTCCCTCGTGTATGCAAAATATATAACCTTAGATTTTATCCAGCCAAAATCAGTCAAATCTTTAATATTTCAGTGATTTTAATAAGTATAAAAATCGCTTTCCTAGAAACATGTTTTGTCGCTCTTATGATTTTTGATGTTTACCATCAAGAATGTCTCGGAAATTAGCTTATTCATATTCATTGCCGGAAGTCAACATAGAACTAGAGTAACTAGAAAGCAGAATCCTTTTAGCAATGAAGTCAAAGAGTCCTGGACAGAATATAGCCTTAAATGTACACTTGAATGACGCAGAGCAATAAATGTACCATTTTCTAGATGCCCCTTGATCGTCACGTAAGCTATTATGAGTATTAAGCAACTTAAACTATGAAAACCAAATCTCAGTTAGTTCGTGACAGTTTTCGTGTAAATATCATAGCCGTATGAAGTTTTTGAAATATATTCCAATCCCGGGATTCCAATATTGCTACTCCTTCACATCCTGGAAGCTCCCCATTCTTAAAAGTCTCTAGATACAGTTAAACCAACCAAAGCGAAGTTTTAACTTGTGTGGATTTACTTTAAATCCGTTTGAAAAATTGTCGAACTTCCAAACACTCTTGAAAAGTTATCATAGTTCGGGCCCTTGGGAAGATATATTGTATATCCCTCGAGATGTTCCCTGTATCCAAAACCTCCAAGCGCATGACCCCTTTATGCAAAGGAGATACACGTATGCATATTATGTAAACGTAAACATGGAAAAAATCACTTACAAATAAACAATCATTTTTTGGGTGTTTTATACCTAAAAGGCAACAGTTATATTTATAGCTGATTTTAGAAAGACCTTAGAAAACACAACTTCGATTAAAACTCAACATTTACCACTAAATGTGAAAACCCATTAATGTTTATATAACAGAGTCAACGACACCTACCGTAGTATCTACCACGGCCAAAATTCATCCAGTCCGCTTGGCTGTCAACGTCGGTTGGTAAAACTTCTTTGGGAACAACAAAATGGATATCGCATTCCTCAGTGTTTTTGCTATAACTGTAAGAAAAGCAGCACTGCGAGCGCATGCATTTCTTCGCACATGAAATTGTAGAGCCAACACTGATGTAAGTCTCGTTTAAATTTGAGGAAAGTCTGCCAACCTTTCCACTGAAGTAGCTGCTCGTTATCTCGATGCAAAACACAAATTTGAAAATGCCAACCATGAAAACGAGAGCTTCCCTGAGAAACATACTTCCAGCTTTGATTTCCTTCAGGATTTTTGATAACCGCATAAATACATTCTACATTCTAATCGATATGATTACGAATAATGGACGCGTTTGATGTTTTTTAGTGAACAATCAGAATTTGCAATTAGTTACGTAAATCTGGATTATAAATTCCGATCACGTTCTTTATTCTGCCTCCAACTATTCCAAACGCAGATATACTAGTTTCTTTTTCAGAAAGTCTTACATATCGTTGTATTTGCTCTAGCACTTGACGGCGTCAATTGTGAAATCTCATAGTAATACGTAATTATGTTATTCTCGATTTCTTTAAATATTCCAATAGTTGTGGATTAATCGCTTTCAACTCGCTCCGGGTATTTATTCTCAAGAACTAAGAAACGTCACTCATGTCTTTATATGCGGTCAATGTTGATATGGTAGCGTTAATACTTCAATAGAATTCTCTTCCGAGAGAATCATTCGTATCAAATATTTCAAACGATCATTTTAATTCAAAACTACATGATTTTTTATGTCGTTGCTATGATAACTCAAGATTGTTTCATTGCGAATTAGCTTCTATATTAATTGTAGTATCACATCTCTCGTCTTTCAGTTCTCTCGTTTTTCAGTCAATGCAATTATATTAATTGTAATATCATATAGCGCTCGTTTTTCAGTTGCAATTAAATGCACATAATGAAATAATGAAAAGCTGAGAGTGGACGAGAGTATTGAATACACAAGGCACTCGCTTGATTTGAGTTTTAAGGCAAAATGGAAGTTCCTATGAAACTGGCAGAAGGTTTTGACTTTAATTTGTAAATGGCCTATTCATTTTATTTCTCCAAATAAAATACAACTTGTACGATAATTGATCACTATGGCACAATGGTAACGCCAATAACGCAAAGCAATGCTGATATCCCTGATATTTTTAAAACATTTTATCAGCCAAACTGCGCTCTATAATTTTAATTTGCTACTTTTAAAAACGGAAATCGGGCGACTCTCGTCAGTCAAAATTGTTGCCATTTACCTTAAATAATACCAACAATGACTTCCATTTTTAAAGTCACTCTCACACAATTTTTGATTATCGGTGACCAGATTCTCAAACTATCAAGAAGGTAAATATTACATGTAGTACAAAGGCAGATTTTTGACGAAATTCGTTTAGAGTTTGGAAATCGTTACACTTTCCCATCTTAGAATGGAGTCCTCAAGTCAATTCGTGCAAAGAGGAAACAAAGCACAACGAAATTATATCAAAAATATTTTAAAATATGCGAAGCTTGAGGACTTAAATCGGACAGTAACAAAAAATGTCATACCATTTTCGATTGGATCGTGATATTTGGGAAACTGCAAATCTTAAAAATCAAATTTACCAATCCTTATTACACAATAGCCCCTGCCTTCTTAAATCGAGAGGGGAATTTAACATCGTGATTGCCCGGATGATAAATATTAAAGTAAGATTATGAGAAATTAAGCACCCCAAACAACCAGCCCATCACGGAAAAATTGAAGTTGTATCCTTTGCTACGGACCAATCAACATGACTCGGTATTGCTGTCACAAATTAATTGGTATCAGAAACTTACTAGACATAATTTCCTTTGAAATATATCCTATTTTCTCTTAATACACGTCACTATTTATAACACTAAACAAGTAAATCAAGAACGGAACAAGAAAATAGTTGATTTATTATCGATTTGGAAAGTTGTGCCATTTCCTACTTCTAAGTGAAGTGGGTGAAGAGCTTGCAATGAACAATTATTCGTAATGGAAATACTTTTTTTCCATAAAAGGTTAATTACGTCAACTTTTGGAGCTTGAGGCATTGTGACATCAGAAATAATTTTACTTTTAGTATTTGTAATGAAGTAGCCCCTGACATACTCACGTGGCAGTGTATGTCAACGCCCTACATATTTTGCATCCATTTAGTAAGTTGTCACGGGTTGTCATCGAAAGATTTGAAACATTTGAGTTAAAAAGTAATATGTGAAGTTTTCTAACACTGCTTATTAGTGTTTTTATGAAAAATAGCATGCTCCCCAAGTTGTACAAATATTTCGATGACAACCCGTGCTAGTCATAAACTAAAAGCCGGTGCTGAACTGATCATTCCCCATCTTTATTGAGATCTACCTCATCCAAGACGTCTTTGAAAAACAAGTAAAACCTCAAAATTATTTTGCAAAAATATCTTGAAAAGAGCATTGTAAACTCGCCGAAAATTTGATACAGCTCTTAGCGAAAACGTCTTGGAAGCTTCACTCTATGCAGACTGTGCTATACGAAAACAAGCGGTGCGGATATCATTTGCGCAAGGTGCGGATATTAACGGTCATTTTTGAATTTAATTTCGTGATATTTCACCAACTAAGGCATATTGGGTACTCAATTATATCCATACATGTGTACAGGTTTCCTAATAAAAAGGAAATTGTGTAAATAGATGTGCGACGCATCAAGCAATAATACTCTCTCCAAAGCAAATAATTTGAAGCAGCATTCATATAATATTGGTGATCGAGATGACCTATCATTACAAAGTATATTTTCATTTTGAAAGTTAAAAGGTTCTGCGTGATTTTTTACAAAATGGGAAACATTAAAAACAAAAGCGGTGTGGATATTCGCGGATATCCGTAAAGTGACGATATCCGCACCGCTTGCATATATCCGATAAATGATTTCATTTTTTAAAAAATTTACACAGAAAGTTTATGACTCTCAAAATGTAAAAATAATTTATATCGATTGGTCATCTCGATCACCAGTACTGAATGAAGGCTGTAAACGGTGTAATAAAGCAGCAATTTCAAATTCCTTGCTATGGAGCAAGGATGAATGCTTATAGTGCGCCATTAAAGAATGAAGAATAAAAAGACACATTACCCCTTTTATTAGGAATCCTCTACAAAGGGATGGTAATTGATAATTGAGTACCCAACATAACTTAGTTCACAAATTCAAAAATGACTCTTAATATCCGCACCTTGCGCACATGATATCCGCACCACTTGCTTTCGTATAACACAGTCTGTATAGGGTGAGCTTCATATTGTGTAAATAGTATAGTCTAACACCGACATACTGGGACACTTCATTATTTCTGAAGTCACATCACAAGTTGTATGTTCACAATAATTCATCTTTTATTCTGATTCGTACAAAACACACATATTTTCAAATCAAAAGATACCGCTTTCTGTCAAATAAAATTAAAACTAGGCTATATTATCAAAGGCAGAATCAGATCTGTAGGGTGTGACAAAATTGCAAGTAACATTTACAGTTGACCTACCAATGTATTATTGTATGGTTCTAATTTAAAGAGTGTTGCATTCGTTAACTTTCGTTTTTATAGAAAATAAAAGCATTTTTGTAATAATCTTTAGTTTTCTTCAAATAAAGTACCCATGCATTTTGAGGATTTTTAGAAAATAGACATGACAAGGAATGAAAATTGAAACAATTTTAATCAAAAGAGACTTGTCAGTGACATCTCACAAGATCCGATTCTGCCTTTAAGTATTGTTTAATAAGTACTTATTCTAAGCCATCAGAAGAAAACATATTTCTAACATTATCAATTGCTTTTTGAACATTTGTGCAGTTGACATATCTTGACTCTACAGCAGAGGTCCTTAATATCCCACCATCTGCCACCATTGTAATGATGCGAAACTCTTCAGTGGCATAAATCAGAACGAGCTCGAGAATAATACACTTGTGCTCATACTGGTCATCTTTCCAAAGATGTAGTTAATTATGTAGCAGTGGTACTTGCATAGACTTGGGGAGGAAAATCATGACTCCAACGTATAGACTGTTTTGGGTACACCAAACGAACACTACGACCATATACACAAGAGTCTAGTTCATGAGGAAGCATTTCGTGTCCTTTAACGTAGATCTTTGTCACGGGGCAATGCCCAACGTTTAGTGCATCCAAAGCTGGACAATCAATGTCTAATCGTTGGAGACCATAGCAGTCATACAAGTTCAAATACTTCAAATGAGGCAAAGCTACTGCCATCTCATTGAAATTTTGGCACTTCTCTAAACAAAGGTGGTATATATTGGCACAGCCTTTGAGCATCATTGATAACGTATAGTCAGATATTACACACCTGTATAACACTAGTGTCTTTACCAATGGGGAGGTCACTGACAAAAGTTTGACATCACAGTCAAACAGTCTAAGAAAGCCTATAGAGCCAAATGCCTGTATGACCACCGCTTCTAACACCATCTGAGTGTCACTACACAGGTTCAGTTCAACTGAGTCTATGCTAACACACTGTATGGTAATACTGCGCATGGTGGGAATGCAGACTAACGATACTTTGCATATATGATTAGCAAGGATGTAAATATAACTGAGACTCTCTATGTCATTATCAGAGGTGGTATGGAGAAGTCGAAGAGTTGGACTACGGAGGTGCAAAACAGATGCCGAGAAACTGCTGAGTAAGCATAATTCTTGGATATTTGGACACGTTTGTTCATTTAAGTAGAGGTCATCAATGGGTAATCTACCTATTTTAAGGCTGACTATAGATTCGTTGTACTGTAGTGTTTCTCTAAAGCTCCTCATGTCTAACTCTGAGCAATTGTCGATATGTAGCAGCACTAATTTGGTACTTCGGACATTTATTGTGCGTAAAGCGTCACATCCATCGACTTGTAGTCGGCGTAATTTTGGTGTAAACATCTCTAAATGTTCCATTGACTCTAGTCCCTGGTCTAACGTTGCCAAGCGTAGATTTGGAGCATTAATACTGACGAATAGGACGTTCCATAGGTTATATAGGTAGATCTTATGGAGGGAACCTGTTACAAGACGAATACCATGTAGATTCTGAAAGTAAAATTTAAATAAAATATAGATATTTTAAGTGCTATGTTCACATTAGTTCAGTGCATTAACAGAGACATCGGACCATAAAAAAACAATTTTCAATATATCTTTAGCACCATCTATTTAATATATGAAAATGAAAAATGGGATGGGACATTAAAGTGCACAAACTGTAAATATCTGAATAAATTTCGTAACTTGAATCAAGAAAGAATTTTGATCGAGTTATAAGACCATGGGAAGATAACATGTGCAACTGGGAGCGTTTATCCCACAGATAACCTTATCACGATGACGACGTGACATGTATGTAATCTCTTTCTCAGATGAGTGAAAGATAGAAACCGTTTATTACATCATGTGTGTGATAAAAATTGCGATTGTGCACGGAATGACAATGCTGTCCTACATTGAGGCGAAATTAAATAGCTGATCAGCTACAACGAGTTTCAAGGGCAATATCGATTAGGTCTAGTTTGCAACTAGAATTTCTCACGCAATCTGTGAGATCGTTGACTTTTTGATTGATGAGAATCAGTGATGGTTGGAAGCCTCATCGATATTGTATATGTGGTTACGAATATTTTTGATGGTGCATTGTTTGTCGATCAATATCCATAACAATTTTAGAGTGCATTTTCTTGTGATACAAGTACCATTAGCCCCTAAGTGTACTTGTAGTAACACACAGCCATGTATAACTCGATGGTGTCATTGAGCACTATTATGATAGCCTATTGTTTGGAGAAAAACGAATGATGTCCAAAGTTCGTTTGATTGTAACCTTGAAATGCTGATAAGTCAACATACAGCCGTAAAACACATATATTGATAAATGGCAACTGTTAATTCTGTACACTTTCAATGTTTAATGATGCAGTTTTATTTATTATCTTAGCTTATATTTTCTCAGACATCATTGGTTTTAAAAGATGCTTCTTAGAAAAATACATTAAATACATTGATTTACCCACCTCACAATTACTGAGACTTAATTTCTTTAATCTGGTCAAGCTGCTAATGGTGTGCCACAGCTCATCCATCTCTATGGAAACAAAGTGTAAACAAAGAACGGTCACCATGGAAGCATGGATGGAATCAGACACTGATTGGACGACGAAAGCACCCTGCATCATTGCATCTTCACTCCGTAGATCATTGAGCGGTAGTCCGGAGTTAATCTTGAGCTTGACATCCTCAAGACCAGTTAGTGAATCAAACAGTCCCACAACGCCATACGCTGTCACTGACCAGCATGCATTTAGAGAAATACTTTTAATGTTGGGAAAATGTTGAGCAATAAGTTGTAGTTCAGCATCGGTGATTGCATAACCCCCGTTGATCTGTACATCCTCTAGGTTACTGAGAGGTAGTAGACTCTCCACCACTACCCTGTTCCATGATATGGGCAGTCTTAGACATTTCAAAGACGTAAGCTTTGGGATGAGGGCAAACACAGACTCATATACGAGGGCGTTATCCTTCCACGTGAGTTTCTGGATATGGGTCCCATATACGCGAAAGATGCAGAAGAGCATGCTGAAGTGCCAATATTCATAATTGGTTGGGTCAACATGGATGTTCCTCCAGATTGACCCAGATGTCTTCAAAACGTTCCTCCATCTTTTGCAGACGAGAGCTAGTTGTGGAACCTGATCGAGGATTGGCTCCAAGTAACGAAATATCCTGACTAAGATCTCATCTGGAAGTCGTTGAGCTATAGATGTACTTTCCCGTGATGTTCCATTCTTAGGATGAACACATTCCAATACGTCATAGTCCCTGAATAATCCTCTCAAATGTACAGTCCAACTGTCGTCTGCTGACGCACATGAAGGTTGATGTGACCTCATTCCGGCCATCATCCATAGCGTCGTTCCAGCGTCTAAGTCGACTCCCACCACGTGGCCTAGTTACGTCCCGATTCAGTTCACGGTCAATTGTCCACATAGATTAACGTATGTTATGGATTCTACTGGTAAATTTGATAAATCAGGCAAAACAATATACGTACTCACTACAGCTGTATTAGGTCTAGATTCATTCATAAAACCTTCGATATCTGCAATTTACGTCAGAAAATCAATGTCAAGTTTAATTGTTAGTAGGAGAAGCCTCTTTAGTTTCGAATATATCAGGATATTACCCACCGCTTCCTGGTCACAGCTGGTTGTCAATACGGTATCGTGTTCCTTTACCTACATAAGGTCAATATATCCTTTACTGGAGTAGATTTCAATGGCAATTTACCGATAGCAAATATCAAGTGTAAATATATAATCGAAGTATAGCTATGATATCCTCCCTTTATCAACACACGTGATATTGTTGATTTCCGTGCTTCTGACGTAGATTGCCGTATATGACAAACAGCGATATATTATGATAATGGCCAGATCAATACTCCAGTACCAGATGTCTGTAAGCAATTTGTAATTACATTGAACGAAAAGAAAATACAGCTGGCTTAAAGAGAGAATCAGATATAGCGAGCAGGCTAAACAAAATTGTTTCAATTTTAGAATATTTTTGGCTCATATCCTTCCTTGTCATGTCTATTTTCTAAAACTCACAAAAGTGCATACTTTATTCCAGGAAAACTAAAGATTTTTACAATAATCTCGCCCGGTGATCGTACAAAAATGATGGAGGGGGGGGGGGATTAGGCGATTTCTGCAAGAAAACTCAACGAATTTGGATGATTTATTTTTTTCAATAGAAAATTTACAACTGAATTGCCAAATGAATAGACGCAGTGCATGGCAAAGTATGTTAGGTCATCTCGTATTTTTTTTAACTGATACCCTTCTAAGATATGAGATATATTAAAAAAGGCGCATCGATCATCACCAACGTGCAAAAGTCAATGTTTTTGCTATAAATCGGGCAACAATGGTCTACACGACCTGTAATAAATAGGTATAAGGGACGTTATTATCACAATACTAATGACATTGCTCACTTTTCAAAGTTAGTATCCATGCGTTATACGGTACAAAAAATAATCGAAATAAATTAATTTGGGATGGAGGGGGGATCGTGGGTACTGGGCTCACATGGTGTTGGTCAAAAATGAATGATGGCTAAAAAGGCAGAAAATAAAAAAAACGGATATAATTTTTTGCCGATTTTTTGTAACAAAATTGTTTCATACAAATACTCTTTACAATGACATGGCTTTTTACAATGCAGGAAACCTGAATTATTTGTAAAGCTAGGAAATGGGCCAAAAGTGAATTTCGCGAGACAAAAATGGGACCATTTTGAAAATAGGCGAGCTTTTGGACCAGGAGTCATAGGGGAGTTTTCTGTATTGATGTTGAACAATAACCAGAACAACGGCAACGCCAAAGCGTAGCGAATCCCATCGAACAGCCATGGCTGGCATTTTTATAAACAAAGTATATAGCAAAAATGGCAGCCATTTTTCAAAATGGCCACCTTCTACCAAAAGTGTCATTGGACAGTGTGCCATGCTTATAGTATTCACATACCAAATATGAACAAAATCGCTCTACTACTTTTCGAGTTATAGTAAAATATGTTAAAATGGCGGGCATTTTAAAAAATGGCCGCCTCCTACCAAAAGTGTCATTAGACAGTGTGCCATGCTTATAGTATTCACATACCAAATATGAACAAAATCGCTCCCCTACTTTTCGAGTTATAGTAAAATAAATTAAAATGGCGGCCATTTTTCAAAATGTCCGCCATTTTTCAAAATGGCCGCCTTCTACCAAAAGTGTCATTAGACAGTGTGCTATGCTTATAGTATCCACATACCAAATATGAACAAAATCGCTCCACTACTTTTCGAGTTACAGCAAAAATCGTAAAATAACGAGTAAAGGCATTTTTCAAGATGGCTGCCATATGCTTCTTTAATATCTACATTTCTAGCTTTATTAATGTCCTACATAATTTTTTTTACATTTAAAAACATATTGCTATTACAGTTTTACATATTGCACCTAAATTACTGTAAAATCGGCACTAAAATGGCCGCCATTTTTAAATGAGCGGCCATTTTGAAAATCGGCTTTCGAGCAGAACTTCTACCCCCATAGGGTATATGTGTACAAAATATGAACAAAATCGGGCCAACGGTATTTGAGTTATTGCCCGGACGGACGGACGGACTGAGGCGTTCCCTATATCCAGACTTGCCAACCTCCCGTTTTTTACGGGAATCTCCCGTAAATTTTTTGTTTTTCCGTAAAAATACCAAACTCCCGTGCCATTTTCTCCCGTAAAAACTCCCATACCGTATTTCTACTAAAATCTCCCGTAATTTTTAAAAAAATATGGCCGTAAAATCTCCCGTATTTTTTCTGAAATCTCCCGTAAAATCTCCCGTATTCTGGTATAACTCCCGTAAAATCTCCCGTATTCTTGGTATAACTCCCGTAAAACCTCCCGTATTCTTGGTATAACTTCCGTAAAATCTCAGTTTTTTTGCTGTCAAAATCTACCGTATTTAAAAGGAAGGAAACAAATTTGTGACGTTGATTATTTCAGGCACGCTTCTTTCTTTTACTCTAAGAAGGATTGCCTCCCATGGTTCACTATCGATACTTTCAAAAATAACTTAAAAGTACTTCATTCCTATGATTCAAATTGCTTTTCTGCGATCAGTTCGGTGTAAGTTTGCACAACAAATGTCCACAAACGGGGGCCAGTTCATATTCTGTCATACTTCTGCGGGAGAATACATTTTGTTTTTATATGGCGCTAAACAAAATATTCCCGCAATATAAGGCGCACTATGAGTAGGGACTGCTGTGAAATAATGAACGTAAGTGACATCTATCTTAGATTATAAGTTCTAATTAATTTATTAACTGCGCATGCGTCATCATAATTTCAACCAATTAAATCGCTGGATTTAATACCGTAAAAACTCCCGTTTTTTCAAAATCTACCGTAAAATCTCCCGTTTTTTCAGAAATCTACCGTAAAAACTCACGTTTTTACAAAATCTACCGTAAAAACACCCGTTTTTCAGAAACATACAGTAAGAACTCCCGTTTTTACCGAAATCTACCGTAAAAACTCCCGTTCTTTCAAAATCTACCGTAAAAACTCCCGTTTTTCAAAATCTAAAGTAAAAACTCCCGTTTTTTTCAGAAATGTACCGTAAAAACTCCCGTTTTTTCAGAAATCTACGGTAAAAACTCCCGTTTTTCCGAAATCTCCCGCAAAAACTCCCGTTTTTTTAAATCTCCCGTAAAAACTACCGATTTTTTTTCAAAAAACTCCCGCTTTTTTCAAAAAACTCCTGCAAAAACTACCGGATTTTGAAAAAAAACTCCCGTAAATTTTTCATTATAGGTTGGCAAGTCTGCTATATCCCTCCAAACTTCGTTCGATGGGATAATAACTTAAAACGGGAATCCTATCGACAGAGGTTTTAAAGCAAATGGTCTAAAAGTGATTTTCGCGAGACAAAAATGGCGGCCATTTTGAAAATAGGCGAGCTTTTGAACCAGGAGTCATAGGGGGGTTGCTATATTGATGTTGAACAAAAAAAATTTGAAAAAAATTATTTTTTGAAAAATTTTTTTTCTAATTTTTTTTTCATTGACTCATACACTTTGAAAGTGCTCAGAAAGCACTAAATAGCATCTTAAAATTGTAAAATTTTCTTGGGGGAGTGGGCCACCCCTCACATCCCCTACAAAACAATTGAAAAGTTCTGAATTTATTTTATGTTTTGTCTCCTGCACTACTTGCCCAGACATCATCAAATAGCTCCTTGATATAGTCAATGTTTCTGGGGGACTAACACTTGCCCCCATCTGGAATCCCCATCCCACCTTCCCCTCTTGCTCGCCCCCCCCCCCCTTGACACATTGCCAGATGGAAAAAATATGGAGAAAATTGTGATTTTCTCTAATTTTATTATTGACTCATACACTTTGAAAGTGCCCAGAAAGCACCAAATAGCATCTTAAAATTGAAAAATTTTCTAGGGAAGTAGGCCACCCCTCACATCCCCCACGAACAATTGACAGAAATCAATCAATAAATGAATAATATTGACTCATACATTTTAAAAGTGCCCAGAAAGCACCAAATATCATCTTAAAAATGTAAAATTTTCGCCACCCCTCACACTCCCGACAAAACAATTGAAAAATTTGAACTCATACACTTTAAAAGTGCCCAGAGAGCACCAAATAGCATCTCAAAAGTGTAAAATTTTCTAGGGGAGGGGGCCACTCCTTACACCCCCCATAAAACAATTGGAAAGTTTGGAAGTTGCATTTGTTAATTTTAAACACTTCAAAACTACACAGAAAACACCAAGTGACATAATGAAATCATAAAAATTTCTGGCACCCTACCCCAAAAATTAAAGCATCCATTTACTCAAACACATTAAAAGTGCTCACAATTAACCAGACAGCATCTTGAATTAGTTAACTTTTCCCTCCCCCCCTAAGAAGAAAATGATGAAAAAATCTGAATTTCTTCAAATTGATTCAATTGATTAAAACACTTGAGTTTCCAGCAGAAATCACTTAATGTGATCTTGAACTGGTAAAAGTTCTCAGGTGAACATTTATGCCCTTCTAGCACACCCTCCCCCTATTCCAATGTTTCTCCTAATTGCTCATACAATATTTAGTCTAAAAACAATACGAAAACAATAAAATGCTACAAAATAAGCTGAGTGGCCCCAAATATAGGGAGTAACCGACCCCCCCCCCCCTCTGACTTACGCGATTTGATTTACGCGGCAAAAAATTGACAATTTTATATTCTCTTTACTGAGAACCGCACCCCCTTTGAGAAAAGTGTCTTACGGGCCTGTTGACGGTTTTAAAACGGGCCAATTGTTGACAGACAGACGGACGGACAGACAGGCGGACGGACAGACAGGCGGACGGACAGACAGACGGACAAGTGAATGATTGCAGTAGCTCACTATGTAAGCTAAAAATGGCAAACATCACTTAAAAAGTGCTCAGAATGGTGGAAAACTGCAATTTTGGTCAGGGAATGGGTTTGCTCTATCTAGGGGCCTGTTTCTGTATAATGTTGGTGAGGCAGTTGCTACGCCCATGTACTACGCCTCAGGATATAATGTAAAAGAAGATACAGAAGTAAAAAATACAATTCCAAGCAACTTTTTTCCACTTTATATATTACATGAAATAGATAATGCTACGATTGAATTACAGTTCTAATAATTAAATTTAAAGCGATTGTTAATTTTACTTAGTGAATAAAGCACTTTCTTCTATTGTTATGAATATTTTTTGGTATATATATACATAAGTGAATATGGTA